AATATTCAGTACTTACTTAAAGTTTGCTCTTCGGCTGCCCCTCATCCGCCGTTTTTTTTCAGCAAAATTAGCCACACCCACCGCCGCGCTATGCATTCTGGGATATGTTGGGCCACGAAGTCTACACTGCCACAGCCTTAAAATTCAGGGAAATGAAGGACGCATTTCAGGGCCGCATTTCCAGCAGCCTTTGAATTGGGACAGCCTTCGGCGCGCCGCTGTGACGTAATCGGCCTTGAAATGCGTACTTTAAGGCTGCAGACCCTGAATTGGGATACAGCCACTGTCAGCTATTTGAATCCTTAATGGAAGGCCGGAACAAGAGAGGCTACATTATAGTATCAATCTGTTGCAAATATATATAAATATCAGGGGAAAGGGCATTTTTCAACGCAATATATCAAATTATATTTTGGGACCGAACAAGTGCATGTTCTTACACATGTCTAGAATAATTAATTTTCCTTAGTCAGTGAGACACTGTTGCAGTTCTTACATCATTTTATTATACACGTTTTATTCCCTCTGCAGGAACAGCTTATTCTGGTGTCTGTAGATAGATAGATAGATAGATAGATAGATAGATAGATAGATAGATAGATAGATAGATAGATAGATAGATAGATAGATAGATAGATAGATAGATAGATACATATTAGAAGAATAGAAGCATATTTTATATCAGAATCTCAAACACACAAATCTACAGTTTTTTGGTGACTGCCAGAATTTTTCAATAGCTGTTATCACAGCAACGGGTGTAAAATACTTATTGTAAAAAGTATTTTACACCCGTGGTGTTTTCTGCCTTCTGTATGTCAGAAGTGTCAACACTTTCAGCAGCTTCTTTGTTGTAGTAGACTAGTGTACTATTCCTGATGGAACAATGCTTTAATAGAAAAAAAAACACCTCTTACCTGCAGATGACTAAGTGCGTAGCTACAAAGTGGGATCACTGTGGGTCTTTTTTAGTGAATGATAATGCTTCATGCCAGAAAGATGCACAAATTAGCCCTCTTAGGTTGGAAATGATTCAAGGAAAGTTATACTTACGTCACTGACAACCTTGACAGTGTCTGTGTTGGTTTTATGGTTGCTTTGGAAACCACTCTGCAGTTTGTGTTAGAGGTTGCTTAAGAATACAAACATATTATATCACCCAATGTGAGTTGTTTGTAACTATAAAACAGTGCAAGAGTCCGTGAGTCAGCAATTAGTAGCCCAAAGACATGGAAAAATCCATAATCTTACATCATAAGGGCAATGTTAAAAAATAAATAAATAAATAAAACACTAAAATCTAAATTAAAATGGCTGAAGACATAAAATATGATCTGGAGATTGATTTCTCTCTAATGACCCCAGGTATTGGAAAAATATCAAACTTAGGGTTAAATTTGAATTCAACAACATCCAGTTATAAAATAAAAATTCACTTGCTGCAGTTGCGTCATTCTCATGTGTAGTGTATATAGTCATTTGAAGAGTACCTAACATTGGTGACTGCATTTGTAAGGGCCCAAGTATTCAAAGGAAATACTGGCAGAAGGTCTTACTTTCAACATGTGGGTTTTATTATTCCTGAAAAAGACAAAAATAATACATAAACATAATGAACATAAGTGCATTTTAAGAGTGGGATCATAAAAACTAACTGTAATGCACAGAACTACACAAAAATAATGGTTAACAAAATAAGACCTTAAAAAATAAGAACCAGCTTAATCTGTTTACTAGTGGAGTAAAACATTTTAAATGCAAAGGGTTAAACCACTGCAACAATAAATAAATGTGATATAAAGGAATGTAATTCTCCCTCATCCAGTCAGAGTGGGTGTTTGGGTCTATTTTGTTGACCTATCCATTAGAACTAGCTCTGATCTCTGACTCCGCTTTTACTCAAACCAGGAAGGACTGAAGTAGCTGACATGTAACTCCAGAAAAATAATGAAGGCAACTTGTATAAATCAATGACAAAACAATATGAATCAAATGTTTGCCTGATTATTTGATAGTGAAATCATTATCAAAATATTTATTTCTTCAATTGCTACCTGATTATTTTCAGTATAACTTCAATTGGTGACATAATGGTGACTTCATGATGACATTTTGTGCATTTATGTCAGTGATCAGAACATTTTAAATGTTATTAACTTATATGAAACTAGTTTCTCTTAACTTTCTGTACAGAGGCCATGTAACTACAGTCTTACAGCCTTTGCAGACCAACTCACATATATTCATATATATTCCTTAACATTTAAACCCAGTGACTCACTGAGTAAGGTTACAGACTAATGGGCAAAATGACTCAAAGGAGGAGGAGAGTGAAGTATAGTGTCGATTTTCAGGTCAGACTGGCTCAGACAGATCAAGTGTAGCCTTGTCATGTAGTTTCTTGGTGAGGTGAATAATCACATCAAAACTCCCGCAATGCTATTGTGCATTGTATACACAAAAGCATTTGCATACTGTTCTATACACAAATGCATATCCATATAGTATTTTTTATGTTTTCTACTAGAAAGACAAAAGTACAAAGAGAAAGAGAAAAGCAGAGAAATAGTCTGATTGATAATGCCATTCATATTACTTTCGTTTATTTAACTGAATCAGGAGATGTTAGTCACCTAAAAAGACCCCACACCCCACCCCACACCCCCACCCACCTCCCCAAATATGATAATAAACCACAGCAACATAACTAACAATATGGCAGCATCAGCAGAGATTGCCTTATTTGCTCTCAGCATCATGTTCATTTAACTCTCCATTATATAAAATGCTGATCAGACTTTATGTGTAAAGTGACAAACACAGCACTTCCTGGTAATCTATGCAGGAAACCCATCGTTAGCAATGAGAGCAAGTACGGTAGTTATTAACTCTGCTACCTGCTCCTCGCAGGAGATTTGTTTCAATGTTATTTTGTAAAATGGGTTTTTTCTTTTCTTTTCTTTTCTTTTTGGTCCAAGTTTGAGATGTGTGAGGAGATCTTCTGGTTCAGCTGTTCACTCTCTCTCAGACAAGTAAACATATTATACACACTAAATACGTTTCACATGAATCAGTGGTAATTGTGCACAGAAATTCATTTCACTGTAGTTGTGTAGCTTCCAATCCATATGTTTGTCCAAATTATATCCTAAAGCCTCAGCAATATTGCTTTATAAAACTTTCATGCCCATAAGACCCCTTTGAACTGAATTGAACTGAGCAGTGTTTGCATCCTCCATTCTTGTAATCTTCTAATGTTGGTGAACAAAGCTCAGCAGGATTTCCCGGCGAGATTCTGATTTCTTCACATCCACAATATCCTTTCTTTCTTTATACTCAGTAAACACATTGAGCCACCGTTCATTTTTCGTGTATAGCATCCGATATGCTTGTCCTAACCATTTGGCTTGGAAGAATATGAGTATTATGTAAAAATAAGGTGCAGCAAATCTATTATTACCAGCACCCTGTGAGTGCCATCTACAGTCTGCAACAAAACACTGCAGTTGTACCAAGCTGCTGCTATCTGAAGCATGGTATGATTACCAGCAGTGACAGTGTGGACAGGGTTGTTTACACCTAATGAGTCTGTGCGTCTATGCATGTTGATTATCGCAGCAAAATATGGGCCTGGAGATGACTACAACAGCAGTAAATATCAAAAAGTTAGGTGTGGTTAGTGGTATATGTCTGTGGACAGATTTTTTTTTCCAAGACACAAAATTTGTGGCTGGGATCAAAATAGAGGTCAAGTTTACAGATCAATGTGGTTTGACCCAAGGGTAATGATTAAAGGATACTGGAACTATGGGGTCAAAGGGTTCCGTGGCCTTTTTCCACAAAACATGGTTGAATATCCAGTCTCTTTAATATTCAGTATGTAATTAGCTATTTAAAGTAAGTTTACATTTTAAATATCATTATCCTGGGGGCCTGCTCATTGGTGTCACAGGTCACTCCATCCGTATGGACTGGAGCTCCAACCATAGGTTGTATATGAAAGATAGAAGCCTGATAATTAATGAGTAGAAACAGACAAGTCAAATGCTAAAATTCTTACCACCACCACACTCACCAAAACAAAGGCACAATTGTTCTCTAGTGGTGTGTATCATGCAGTACTGTAGTGCTCCAAAAGCCATCAACACCTCTAATTTGGTTGAAAGATGACATGACTCAGATGGGTACAGTTGCATGTGTCAGTACGCTAAGATCATAAATTTAAGCTACAACAATATGAAATGTTTTAACAACAAATAAAAGCTAAACCTGCATAGTTGTGATGGAGGAAGAAATTAGCTAATGTGATTTTTCCCCTATCACTGTGTCTTAGCCTACTTTATCCCTGGGTTAGCACTTGTTTTAAGGTGTAGCTCCAGAATGTGCTGCACTTTAAAAGCTTATAGAAATAGTAAGGCATTTTTAGCAACCCTATGAAGTATTTATTTTTAAAGTATTCCCCAATTACTTTTAAATAGAGCAAGGATTTTTTTTTAAACATTTAGCCTCACTGATGCTAACAGTCAATTGTGTATTTTTTTTTTTTTTTGGGGGGGGGGATGACAGCCTGCAGTCATTTGAGTTTTCAACAAGTCTCCCACACGTCTCCTGAGCAATCCCAGCCCACTCTTTTTTTTGTCAAATCCCCCAGATTTAGTGGTTCTCTGGCATGGACCTCAACCTTCACTTCACCCCACAGATAAATAAGTCAGGGCTTTGTGCAGGGCTGTCAGTAATGTTCACTCTGGTCTTCTCGAGGCTGTTCTTCACCGGGAGCGACATATGTTTTGGGTCACTGTCATGTTGGAAGTCAAAACAACGACAAATGTAAGTAGCGTCTCTATGCCCAGAGAGCTCTCGCTTCATCTCATCTTGGGAAAACCTTGACAAAACCTTTACATTTCCTAGCACGGCTACAAATTTTATTGTGCCACAACACTCACTACTACGTAACCAATTCAGCAAATAAAGATGCAACGGAACAATTTGTATTGAACACAAGTGCTTTTTTATTGCAAGTATTTATTGGTACCTCAAATGGTTCCCATGCCAGTCACTGAACAGAAACCGCTCCAAGGTACTGAATGAGACAGTTGGGCTGCTGGTCAGGGGCAATTTAAGTTTTACATATTTACATTAAAAGGTGGAACTGTTACAAATACTGAACTAAACTCATGGCAATGCAAAATTAAAGCTCGTCCCCATATCCCTCTGAAAGTTACACTAAAGACATCATTAGCATAGCAATAAAGGCACTCTGCTGTTTGTTATCCACATACTGATCTTAAATAAGAGAAGTTCACTTCTGGGACTATTACAGTAAGACTGATGATAGAGTTGATATTTTAAAAGAAATAATAAATGGGAATTTCAATTTGTTAAATGCACAATTTACCAGGCAAACGACAACAGAAGGCTAACGCACTTCATATATTAAACTGACTTAAATTAGAAATCTAAAAAAAGCAGCATGTCAAGAAAAAAAAAGCAGGCATTCTTTACACAAGGTTCTACGCAACAACGCATACAATACAGCACTTTGAATTCAAGGCCCACGGGTCTTTCCATTACAAAGGAATACACACTCATTACAGCACACTGCTTCAGCACAATGGGGAAGAACAGAAAATAAGAAAAAATAAAACATGGAGGCCTTGAATCTTAATGTCACCTTAGACACTCTAGCTGACTTTTTTTGTGTGAGATATTTCAGTATAAACCTGGTGCCATAATCAAAAAGTCAGAAAATACAAACAGGTGGAAAAACACCACTGTAGTTAAACTGTATTATTCAAATATATTAAAGCCTAAATGGTTTAAACTCTGTTACTTGGATAATACATTTTACATGTTTGTATATTATGAAACTGCCCAATCTTTTTTGAAGCAAGTTGCTGAAATCAAATCAATTCTGTAGGCTTTCACTTACAGCTATTTTGGAAACGAGGCTTCAACATTTATGAGCATTTGCCTCCTTTTCCTCCTCTTTGGTTTAATGTGTCCGTTGCAAATTTACTAAACGTCAATAAACACATCCTGTCAGGCACAATATGTGACTGTTATAAGCTAGAAAAGGCGATCGAGTAGACATGAGCTCTTAGTGCAGTCCCTTATTAATTTACCAGCCAACTACGGACCTCAAAGTTGAAAAGACAAAAAATAAACTTGAAATTGATATTGAGATGCTTTTTGGCATCACGATGTTCAAATAGATTCTGTAATTAAAAATTAAAAATTAAAAAAAAATTAAAACTTGTTTACCTCAAACAAGCAAAAGTTAGAATTTTAACTGGTAATATCAGTTTTACACAAGTCAATAAATAATTAGAACAAAAAATCTGCAAAATCTCGTGCCGTTTCAAATGTTGGCTTTATTTAATTTATTGATACTGACTTTTTATAGCCTGACAGATATGTGAAGTCTTTAATTATATATTTTTTTCTATTTAATGTGCTTATTTTGACTTAAAAAACACAACGCCTAATGTTTTTTTTGTTGTTGTTAAGTAACCAAAATTATAAACCAAGTTGCATAGGTATTCACCTTGGGATTTTTAATCACAACTTTTTCGTCACTATTATTGCATCCATTTTCACCTGTTAAGTTTAATTTAGGATAAAAGCAATGTAATGGACAAATCTTAAAGAACATAGCAATAAGCCACACTTACATGCCATATACAGCAAATGTATGGAGGATATGGTTGTTCTCTGTTACAGTCACCTATACCAGGGAAAACAGTGGCTGAGAGACTGACAAAAAAAATTAATTGAAGCCACATGCAATAAACTTGTGGTCTTGTTGCCTTTGTAACGGTTGCTTCAACCAGATGTAGTAAGTTGCCATTTTTAAAGCAACTTTCGTTGGGGTCAAGTTGGCATGCAATAAATCGCCAAAAAGAGAAAATCTGTTTCCAACAACATACACAGAAATTCACATTAACTACTTACATTCAGAGTCAAGCCAGAACCTCACAGATATGAAACACAGATTCCTGCAAAAATAGTGACATAGTTTCTGTAGGACAGTAATTTAACTGCAAAATAGCATGGGTGCTTGACAACCTATCAAGTCCCCTAATGCAAAATGATGCAAGGCAGCAAGACTGACTCAGAACGACTGGAATATGTTTGCAGTCTGCATTTATAAATCAAATGGCAGATATTTGTCAGCCTTTGCTAATCTAAGAGTGACTGCAGTCAGTCCAACTCAAATCGTTACTGCTTGGCCCTGTTCAAATGGCAGAGGAGATCTAAAGTGGTCACCCACAGGTTGAGGGTGTTACACATTAAACCACTGGTGGCTTGTGACCATAACTACTTGCAGTCCAACAGCAAACAAATTCAGTGCAATCAAACTGTTGCAAGAAGGTTGCCATCCTACTTTTACTCATGTGTGACTGAGCCATAAGACAGACATTATAATCTGTTCTGTATTGGACTTTTTAAATATATTTTTAAATACATTAATAAAATTCCTACACTGGGTTGCAAGAATGGGTTCTTAAGAAGGTCTACACCGAGTCAGTAGTATATAATATAACGAACAAGCAGTCTGATTTGATGCCTCTAAATAAAGTTCTGAGAAGTGAAGTATTAAAAGCACTTTAAAGTCACAAACATTAGCGTCCAGAGGGCTCTTACAATTAATGAAAAAAAGCAAACAAGAATCAGCCCTATCGAGGAATCGGATCGTCTTCACGAGGGGCAACGCTTCAGCTTTAATTAGGCTTAAAAGTAGCAATTTAAATACTTAAATAGATAGAAATTTTTTGCTGTATTTTAACACAAACTGTACACATCTGGTATCAATACATATAAAAATTACAAGTGCAGTTATTTTAGAAAGGAAACCCTTTGATAAGTCATTATCAAAAATACGTAGCATTAGTAGCACTTTTTGTTCTTGTTTTCTAGTAAACTTTACAATGCTACATTACACTCCAAAAAGAAAATGAGATTTTTCTTCTTCAAGTCCAACTTCACTGCAGCCGTGATACAGAAGTCAATGACCACTACTATAATCTTCTGATGCTGGATCCACCTTTTTTCTTGCCTCCTTATCCATTCTCCTTTGTAAAGCACTTCCTCTTCACCATCCACTTGCTCCTCAGTCCATCATACACTGGCTACTCGGCTCTCTCCTTTTTAAAATTTAGTCAACTTTTTCTACTTTGCCAATGATCTTCTCCTCAAAGATGGGCAGGATAGCGTCATCTTCACGTACCTCTTCAAACACCACCCCACAGTCAAACTCATCACTTACCTTCTTGAAATAATACCTAAAAAGAGAAAAAAAAAATACAAGGTCAACTTGACTTTCTTTGATACCAGAAGACACCCCACATGTTACCCAGTAGCACCGTGAGTCTCACCTGTAATTTCCTTTCTTTGTTAGCAGTTCTTTGAACTGGCCCAGCGTGACAACCCTCCCTTTGACAGAAGTCCTGTAAGGTATCAGCTCCTCACAGAAGTAGTACGCCACAGTAATGTTTTCACACGGCTGCTTTTTAGTAGCTTTGTGTCTGAAAAGAGTAAAGAGAGGATTTTTTTTTTTAGAACATTTGAAGTTCTCTCATGTCCAAAGCTATGTAAAACATTTTTCACTTAAAAGACACACAGAGGGAAAAAAGTCTACTTTGAATAGAGTTTGCTGAGACTTAGAGTAGTGACAATTGTAAGTTACTCAAAAAAATCACAGCAATAGATGGAAGAACAGGGGAAAAAAAGACTAATTGAATTCATGGACTGGAAAGGAGGTTTACATTTTTGCTACAAACTTGATCAATTGTATAACTTGATTCAAGTTACGGAAAGTTTCAGATATAAACTGATTTTTGTCTGCAATTTATAGCCTGTGATTTCATGATGAATCAAGGCCAATAATCACAGCTGAGAGATGTCAATGAATAAGCAGCTATCATTAGTCAACACGTTACTGTAGGAGTGCATTTACATAGCATCGCATCCATCTGGCCTCTAACAGATGGCAAAATGCAGGTGGCCGTTTTTCCATCGATCTAAACACACAGCTTTCATTATAGGATACATACATTGGTTTTGATGCATTCGTATTAATACGTCTCTGCCGCATGATTTTCTCTTTTCTGCAAGAACTGCGGATGCAAATTAAGCCTGATATTCACAATTTGCTTCCAAAATCCTCATCCTTGTGAGTCACAGCTGGTCATGCAAACACGACACGCATGCTTTTGGATTCAGTGTCACATTTACCAAAGATGTCATTATCCACCTCAAACATGCTCCCTCAAGTAAACATCCATAAATCTAGTTAGAAATCACAGAAAGATTAGAGAGAAGATACTTATGACTCCAGAATTTCTGTGAGAACCTAGCCTTTAAGCTTCTTTAATAAGACACTTCGAATAATCTAATACCAGTACACAGCACAGAGAGCATAAAAGCTTCCGAGTCTCAAAAATGAAGAAAATCTAATCTGTAGAAATCTGAGGTAAAACTGCTCTCAGCTCTGACCTCAGTAAACACTTTCCTGATGAGTTTAGAGCAGCGGTGTCAAACATATGGCCCGTGGGCTGGATATAATTGTATCAGGCGAGTGAGATAATTTCATATGTCAATTATTAATGGCCCATTGGTATGTGCGAGCCGAATCTTCAGCCCTGCTGAGAATCCAGGAAGGAGTGGGACTTTATTTTGATGGGCACACCATCCGGCCAATCACATGCAAACCTTTATGTGAAACAAGAAAGGGGGGCAGACGTTCTGAAGCCAGCCAGTATAGGCATACAGGCCAGGTACACAGAAGTAAACTCAAAAGTGTCGGGAAGAAGTGAAGAAAGGAGCAAAATGTAAAATGAGCATCATGAAGCCATTTATAATTCTTATAATTCTTAACTTGTTTGATCTGCTGCTCACCACAAACAAGCACAAGCAGACATTTTGGACTTTTAACTGTATTTTCATATTTTTTGCAGCTTTTCCTATTGATAAAACCCTCCCTTGTAGCCATTCATACTACACAAAGTAATTAAACAATAAATAATCAAATGACAGAATAGTTTCCGCTTTTCACTTTCTACTGTAGACATTTTTTTACGACTACTGCTGAAAAAAAGGACAGTCTGGGCAATGAGCTAACAGAACTTGTTTTGTAATTTTACACATTTATTTCTTACAATTTAAGTCCAAAGAGTCAAGACAGATTTCTTTCTTTGTCGCAGGAGCCTTTTCGTTATCGTGTAGAAAAACGGACATGGAATTTCTTTACACTGACAGGAAGGCGGAGTTTCACTCGTCCGGCCCACTTAAGATCAAAGTGGGCTGTATGTGTCCCGCAATGTAAAATGAGTTTGACACCTCAGGTTTAGAGGCTCCGTCATTTTGGGTCACAGTGAATAAAGTTCATTTTGTAAAATACGGCCCATCTAAAAGGACTGGTGGATTCTCCAGTTTATGCTCATGTGCTAATGAATCGTGAATAACAAGTTCAGTTTCAAAATATTAAGACGGTGATGACAAAAACGCTTTCGAAGAAAATAAGTGACAACAGTGGCTACGCCCAGCTTTTATACTGCCAGTGATGCAGGGTTTCCAGTATACGCCCCAGCCCACAGCTGTCTCACCAAAAGTATCAGAAATTCTATATTTATAATTTAGATTTATGTATAATTATAATTCCTAAATACTATTATTATTATTATCCTATTGTCCTTCATATTTTCTGTATTCCAATTTTGCTGTCATCTTTAAGTAATTTTTTTAGAGGTGCGTACTCGAGTTACGGAAAGGTCCGGTCAGTAAACGAATGCCAGACCTCGCAAATCTAACAGGAGGATTCAGGAGGTGGTGTCACGTAATCTTTCTTTCATCTGCAGTTCTCATGCTCTTCCTCATCTGGTAGGCAGCTATCAGGCAGTCAGACATCAAACAGAAATACATGTTTCTCAAATAACATCAAAAACAGATCCTTTCTGTAACACTCTAGCTAGTCTGCCGCTCCGGGAACAGAGAAAACATACACTCCTACTTCCTCTGTGACCTAATTTTTTTTTTGGTCTTCACAGAAACTAATCACCAAGAAATCTGATGATCTCAGCCTTCAAGTCTGATCAATTTATTTGTGAGCAGTTGAGGAAATGATAAACCTTAGATCATGAAAATATTCTGCCACATACAGTTAACAGTAAAACCATTGTTATTAAATCAGTAATAATCCTGCAAAAGGGCAGTACTGCAGGAAAGTGCTATTTGTCCATTATTTTCCACTGACTTAACATGTCGCACACAATGTTAAAAGCTATTTGTGGAACACAGTGGACGTACTCGGGCTCGGAGAGCTCGCTGAGCTGAGGGAACTGTACGGGCCTGACTGCTGTGCGATCCCTCTGGATCACCTCCAGCACATACCTGAGAGACCAAAAAACCCCGGTGGTTAGACACAGACCAGCTTTAAAAAAAAAAAAAGAGGCACACGGGCTAAAGATTTTCACTAGATAACAGGGAAAGGGCTGGCTTTCTCTTTTGTGGCTTAACTAATATATATAAATTACAGTCTGTGACATGCAAACCCTTTTCAAACCGTTTACACAAGCTTGTCTGTGCCTTTTAAATCTCTTTGTATTTCACAATATATTTGAGATTTCTATCTGCTGACAGCCAGCAATGACTTAGCTCCCAGAGCTGAAGAGGGGAGCAATTGTCACAAGTACGACAGAGCAGGGTACAGATATGGCAGAATATTATATTCTTTGGAAAAACTGAAGAACTAAACAAGTGGACATGAGTCATATCTGTTCTTTTACCTTTGCTTAGGCTGCAATGTTCCGGACTTCATCTTCTCCTCCTCGAGTCGCCGGCAAACCTCCTCCAGCTGAATGAGGGGGCTGGGAGCTGGGTTGGGCGGCATGGTGGGATCCTGGATGAAAGGGTGAGACGGCTGCACACTGTTCCGCAGCTGACCACTGATGCACGGATGCATCGACCCCGTTGAGCCGAGGCGGGATCCCTCATGTCCAACAGTCCTTTTGGACCCAGTGGTGCTCCTATGATAAAAAACATATCAGCAATTTATTTAATAAAATAAAGAAACATGCTTATTTTAGCATATTTTAGCTTTACTTGTGCACTGGTGACGTAGTGGCATGAGCACATGTCTAAAATGTTTTAGTTTTATTTAATTTAAAAAAAGGAAAAAAAATTATGTTTTCTAATAAAAGGTAATCACTGACCCATATGGGCTTCTCTTATGCTGAACCATTTCTTTCTGTCCTTCCATCAGCCACAAAAGGATCTTCTGGTTTTTCTCCATCTCCTCTCCAGGCCCCGGCATGTCATAAGGCCGCAATTCCTCACCTCTCTTTGATGCTCTTTTACACTGTGTGCCACCTCTGCCGCTGCAAAATAGAAAATAAATAACTGATAAGTAGAAAACAACAGGTATTTTTCATGTGTGAATTCAGTTTTTCTTAGTTTGTTCCTTACATGTACCCTGCATAGTCCATGGGGTTGGATCCCATGCCGTCTGCATAGCTGCGAGACTTTGATCCGTAATGACTTGACTCGGTGCTCCAGGGAAAGCTCCCATGCACATGCGTGACTAAATCAGCCTCCACCTGCTCTTTGGGCTTGCCCACGCTTGTGTGGTGGCCATGGTGTTTGTGGTGGTACAAGTGGCTAGTTTCTCCCTTGAAACCGTGCCTGGATGCATGTTTACCCTGGCCTGGCATCCCAATCCCTTTTATCCCTGGGAAACCGTCTGGTGAGCGCGACTTCGGAGAATGACGGCCGGTTCCCGGCGACTGGCAGCCCGGGGTCTTCATGACTCGCTGCACGTGGTCGTCCAAGATGCTCTCTGGGTTTTCTTCATGAGCATCTCCGACAAAAGGAGCGCTGTAGGTGTTGTCAGCATAGCGAGGGTTGTAATTCTGTGAATAAGCACCAGGGGGGAACCTGTGACTGGATAATGATGTTGCTGTGGCCATCATGACTTCGTCAGCCTCCTCTTCCTTTAGCACAAACACATATACGCACAATGTAAAAGATAAAACCTTGAAATAAAAATCTAAATAAAGATAAACACAACATATAACACAAAGAAAACACAAAAAAGGCTAACCTAATTTATAAATAATGTATATATACTCGTAGCATGGATTACAATGAATGTTTAAATCATATAGCAAAGAAATACAAAATATGTAAATGTGCATTTTATTTATTCACCAGCTGTGTTCCATGTGCACTATCAGCACAACTGATGCTATTCCACCAGGCTGCAGCTGCAGTACTTATTTCAACCTGAAGATGGCAGGTTTAACCTTAAGTTGAAATGTGTGTTCTCCTTCTTAATGCAGCAGTTTGGAGACAATCTATGAATACAACCGTTTCAGCATCCAAATAGCATATTTCTGTGGCTTCGTGTCATGACAAGCAGAATTGCTACAGCTCGAGCGCTGACTGACTGGGACAAAACTCTCTGACAGACTCGTCTCCAGGGGGATTTAAAGGGTGGGGTGCTGCAGGCTTTCATAATAGGTTTTGATAAGCAGGCACTGTAGGAAGTGCAGGACGTGCAATGTTAAACGGAAAGATTGAACGGAGAATGCCGGTCAAGAACTGCATGGTCATGTTGTTATTCCTATATGGCCCAGGATCTCACGCCTCTGTTAACAGAAATACTTTATTCTAAATGAAATACTGACATAACAAACCATCATAAAACATTACTAGATTTTTTTAATGTAAACTTCTAGGAGTGTAATGTCTCTAGAAATCCACACTTGAGCTCGAGCATTTTTATTTGATACTCGTGGTTGAAAAAATAAATCCCTATCAGAGATTACCGATCATGACAGGATCACGAATGATATATAATTTCCCCTCTTCTAACTTGTTTCCACATAATCCTTGATGTGAATGATATTTTAGCTTAGCACTAGCATGCTTCACTACTATACAATAAGGCCCCGTGGCTATTTAAACGAAGCAGCATTAAGCAAAGGGCAGATTTACATGAGCACTTTAAAACTATTTCTCCACCTATTCAAACACATGTTGTTTACACCAAACCAAAATGAGCACCTATTTACAACAACGGCTCTTGACTTGTGGTTAAAACTGATGACACAGTCATCATGTAATCCTACTGCCCCCTGTAATCTCAACAGTCATGCCAGTAGGTTGTCCAGGGTGACAGTAAAGACCTTAAGCATTCAGTTTTACCCTGATAATAATATATTCATCATAATTTCCCGGGGAAATTTGGATAAAGAGAAAACATTTTATTGTAGGTGGAGAAATGAGCACCATACGCCTTTTATTTTGCCTCCTGTATAAAGGTGGGAACATTTTGGCAGAGAAAGAAGGTAAAGGAGAGAATATGTATATATGGAAAGACAGATTTTACTTTTCATTTTTAACCAGCACAAGCTCAAACCTTTCATGCCAGCTATGTCAATAATTAAATCAACCTTCAATAGATCTCCACTTGTAAACATGCCAAACCATCTTTTGAGCGCTGCCTCTGTGCTCGCCATCCTCTTACTCCAACTGTGTGAAAAGGAAACTCAGCCTGTTCATACACGCAGTTAACTTTCTCATGCCCACGGCTTTCTTAGATGCAGCTGTATTGCAAAATATGACCCATGCAGCCAAGTATTTTTTGGCAAGTTTTTAAGTAATTGATGTTTCTTTACATCTCCGCGTTCCATCCGGATATCTGCGCTAGCCGAGCCCACAAAATCCACACAGAACAATGAAGAAGAGACGAGCAGATATTTCGAGGAATCAATGAGAGCCCTGCTCACAATCTTTTGCCGATAATTTGCTTACTCCGTACAATAATTACATTATGTGAAGTCCTAATCAAATTTTGTGCAGAATGCATGACGGAGCTGTGGAAAGCTGAAAAGTTGCATTGTCATGGAATCAGATTTTGGATTTTTTAACAAGATGGCACACCCTTAAAAATCTAATTTTATGCTACAGACACCATAACTATATCACATTTTACTGCTTCTGATATCCTCATTTACAAGCTAAAACCCAAGCTCACATTTCCAAAGTATTACTTGATGAATGGCGTCCTCGCCTCCCGTTTCCACAGGCCAAACCTTCAGCTGCGTGATGGCACCTTCTTTCCTTTCATAGCTACCCACATAAATTGCCTGCCTTGAGACTTAATACTTGGCACCGTACACTGAGGGAGATTTCATTTGTGGTTTCAGGAACCATTTCATCAACATTCAAGTGACATCAAACAGGCGGCTCACTGTTCCAGGCTTACAAGTGGCGGAATGTGCAGGTGCTCCATCTGATTCACAGACAAAGCCAGATTGCTGACAGGCCAAGGACAGAATTCTCCAAGTGATTCATAATGTTTTTTATTCCCTATTCAAATGGTTGGCCTCATTAATTTCATTAAGGCCAGGTGGATTTAAGTCTCCTTTGTTACTGAAGAGTTAAAGCTCAACGGCCGAGCACACACCTCACAGTCTGGCTCAGAAATAAGCATCGGTAGAATCTACTGTTACACTTCAACCAGCAATCTGCTTTTCAATAAGCTTTCACAATCTATTCAAGTATTCTTTTATTAAAGTAAACCAAACTTAGTAAATTGGGAAAACAGAGCTCTTTGATTTTACCATTTGCACTGTGAGGACTTTAAATGTGATCTTTAAAACCAGCCCTTCATGTTGCAATCACAAACAATCTCTGACTCAAGCTTTGCAAATGAAAAAAATGTTTTAAGTTTAGTTCTTTAGGTCACTGTACTGCATTTTTCATTATTAGCTGACATATTACTGATGATATAGCAAATAAAAAAGAATTGTTCCTTTGCCCCAAAGCATTTTTAACTTTAGGAACTCATACTTTAATTTCCCCTATCCCCTCATCACTAAAATTCTTCAGTTGTGTTACACAGTAGTAGCAATATTCAGCTCCTAACACTTCCTCACATGACTTGAATGTGTAACCAGTAGCTCTGCACTGTTGAGACTATATTAGAGGTCATTCAGTGAACACGTGATTCCATTGAGCCTGAACCTCTGTAGAAACCGCTAAAGGATGCTTCTTATTCATATAAATTAGGCAGAATTAACAAAATATAGCTTCTGATTGTTCTTTCAATAGTATACGCTTCTTCAGAAAACAGAGAGAACATACCAACTGTACTCTCTTCAGTCGTTCCTCTAGTTTCTCCTGAGCCTCCCTCTCTTTCAGTACGCCCTCCAGTCTCCTGATCAGCTCTGCAGCAAACCTTTCTGGCTCCACGTGTATATCCTTTGGAATCCGGTTTGGGCGCTGGAGAAAGAAATGTCAAAATGTAAGCACTGCTGCATTACTGTCAAAGCCACTTCAGCAGTCCCAGGATGTTTTCCCACCTTGGCCTCCAACATCCTTTCAGCAATCACATTAAAGTGCTTAAACATAAGCAGGAAGACATTAAACTAGATGGTGTTGAGTGTTAAAAACACCAAAGGGATAATAAATTTAAGTATTAGCAAATGTGCCACAACTTTACCACTAAATATCACTAAAGCTGATGGGCTTTTTTTCAGTATGCTTCATTCACTGCTGTAAAATACTCTTAACCTTGCAAGTCTGAGTATTTGCTCAAGACTGATTGGTGTGAACCATGAAAAACCTTAAAATAAGTATTAACAGTAATTATTTCTGAAGATGTGGGTTTGCTCCCCAGCAGTAGGGACTCACCAGTTTGGTATCTGAATCATTTAGTCTTCAATTCAGTTAATAATATTTCATTGACAAGTGTCTTGCCATATTGTACAAAGAACTTTTACAGAAGAATATCAGGGCAGCACAACCTTAGGAGAGGTTGACTAATGGAAAAAGACAATGACAGAAAGAACATAAGTATGAATGACAAGACGTTAATCTTATTGAAGTTTTAAGGCATGAACTAAAAATATTAATTATAATTTTAATGAGCTAAAACTGTTTTGTTGGAATAAAATGGCACAAAATTATTGTTTGTGCTGCTTAAGGAGGTTCTCTGACATAAAAGTAAGATAAGATAACTCTTAATTGTCATTGCACAGTCATACCTCGTACAATAACACAACGAAATTGGAAAACTGTCCCATGTCGGCACTAAACACAAAAAAAAAAAACACAACACAGTAAACCTTAAAGTGCAAAAAAAAGATATGAATAATAAATTAAAGAATGAATGTTCATTGTGCATTATTGCCCCCCCCACAAAAATAGCTAATCAGGTCAGCTGTTAGCACTGATTAGGGCTATTGCCCCGTTGTAAAAACAACAGGGCAATGTAGTTCATATATTTAACTAACATAAAGATCAAATCACATTTTCTCATAAACACAGTTATCTTAGAAATACATCACTTACATTATTTTACTTACTTACATTATAATACATATATTTGATAAAGGTGTCTTTCTTTGTGAGGACATAAAGAGATTTAGACCAGATTTAATAACGGCCTCATTCTACAGATATGTGACAAATTCAATTTAAAGCAGGAATGCTTGGTCCCTACAGTGAGGGGGATCCACCAAAGCTGTTATGCTGTGGGAGCATTTTTCTGGCATAGCTGGGCCCAACTAGACCCCTGCTTTTCCGGGTGTTCGTCTTTCATGTCTGTCATGATGGAAGTAGTCTGCTGAATTGAAAGACAGTCATGCGTAGGTCTTGTGGGGGTTGGGATGAATATCAAAATGATGTAAAACATATTCTACTGCTTTTACCATAGGCATATTTAAACCTTGTTAACCGACTGCAGATTTAACACACCACAGTCACAAAAACTCTAAATGGAGGCTTTGGGAGAACTGTCCAGTAGAGTTCCTGGGACCTCGAGAATTAACACCAATGAGCACTAAAGCTGTTGTGCCAGCATTCATTAGCCCAACACCTTAGAAAGACAGTTAATGTTGTTTTTTGTTCTTTTAAATAAGGTTTTAAATAATATTAAGTACTGCATGATTTCCTTCCACTTTTCCACCACTTTAATTTATTTCCTTGTTTGATTGCTTTTTTAGTGTACCTACCTTTAAGTATTTGTATGTTAATATAATTACATTGTCATTTCAAATAAAATAAATTCTACTGAAATTCTACTTAATTACACAGGAACTGCAACTTTAGTCTTGGGATTTTTTGTAAAGTGTACAATTTCTTCTCCTGTCAGTGTATGCAATTACACTGCAATCTTACCTATTCAAACTGTGCCCCCGATTTGAATCCAGTAAGTGCAAAAATAACTTGACAAGAGACTCTTCTTTAAACATATTTAAAACATAATCTCTGTTTTTTCTTATTAAAAAAAAACTGAAGAGTAATTTGTTAGGGGTAGAGATTTGGGCTCTTCTATATAGTCAATTCTTACATCTTAATGAGAGGCTGCATGAGGCATTTTAATTTGACGCTTTACTCCAAGGCCTAATTAGAGCTCGAGTTTCCTACCAAGAGAGAGCAGGAGCTGCAGAGGGAGGCATCAGGCTGTCACAGGGAAAGGTTCATGTCTACTAGGCTTCAAGCGCACGCAGCTTAGGAAAGCATCAAGCTGCATTTAGACAGACTACTCTTTCACCATCAGCTATTCTTATACTCCATCACAGGACCCCGCGACACAGCAGAGCTTAAATATGCACATCTCCAATGGCGGAGCAGAAAAAAATAAGCCAGGAACCGACAGCTAAAGGTGTCGAGGCAGAAATGGAGAGAAAAGGGAAATAACCCATGAATAACTCACTGGAATATGAGGTAGTGGCACTAGCCCATTTGCTCTGGCACTTTCATGCATCTCGCGGCGATGCTGCTTGCGGTATCTGTAGGGTGGAACCCCGTCTCTGGAATTAAACAAAGACATTTTCATAAAACATGCTCATGAATAAACAACAGAGGCAGCTTTGAAGTTGAAAGCTTTTCACAGAATTTGTTCCTAAAATGAACACCTAGATAGTGATTAATTCGTAAAGCAGGACAGGTATGCTCACAGGCTAATAGTGTCCCTTCTGCACAAGCGGCGTTGCACATTATGGTCACATATCACATGCAGAAGAGTGTCAATTTATATGATATTACTCATTCTGGGGTTTTTTTCCTGTTCTGGAAGTCCTGGATCAGTTAGCTGATAACAGCCTCTAATCCATTCAGCTTCAAAAACATTTTTGTGCAGTTGTGCATGCTTTGAAGCTTCGTTGGCTGAATTCCCCAGTGTCATATCTGCAACTAAAAGTCTTTATTTTGCATATCTTCATTCAAAAGCACACAACTGGCAATGACTTAAAAACACTGAAATCCAAGTTGCACTAAAATATATACTATTCCCACATATAATAGGATCCTGTCTATTTTATTGGTGAAGGTAAAACTGTCATTCCCCTAAAAGTTGTAACCTGCATAGCCTGTTTTAACTGGTACAACTGTGTGTGAAATGTTTGGATGAAGCCAAAATACATACACACTGCTGTCTGTAAGGGAAATGGTGTCTGCGTCACTGGACATGCTCTGTTGCTCACTGTCATTGGCGCTGGTGGCAGGAGCCATAACATGGCCAGTGTTGACGTAGTACGGGTTGATTGTCTCCCGACATGGTGCATGCCTGGAAAAATGAGGGGAAAAAAAGAAAGAAGAAAAAAACAAAAAACAGGACATGGTGACAAAAGGGTAACAAACAGAAGTAGAACGAGATATGAAAGGCATCCTCAAGTTTTTTGGATGATTTCTAAGGTAGTTAACATACCAACATAAACAAGATTAGAAATGCTACATCTTGTAAAACACCAGCCTTCAGGCCAAGAATCAGTTGAACTGAGTGCATTAATGAGAAGTCAGTTTTGTTTTGTTTTTTGTGCAGTATAGGCAGCAGTGTGCTGTCTTCACAACTTTGAAGCAAAGAATAAAGGAGCAGAGGACATACAATTTGCATATAAAAACAAATCAATACATGAATGAATATTTGTTGATTGATTGATATTTTATCTTGCTTTTTTTTAAACTGAGTTTGCCTCAAAGTAAGGATGAAGTAAGCAGGATGGATAAACTCTATGTCACTACATTCTGGAGTTTATTTGTTCCTGCTATTTATTTTCTGTAACATACTCATTTAAATGTTTTCCATCTGTCAGAAAGCTCTACTATTATAACAGAACCTGCAGCTCTTGTAGCTGGATGAAGATTTCTATCTTCAACCACAGGAATGAGGATAGGAGAACATGAGAGTCCTTCGATTTAATTCTTCATATTTGCTTAATTTTTTGCCATTGTTGGCATAAGTGAGATTGGATTTAAGTTCATATAGGCCCACCAATTATACACAACTTAGGTCATTTGCAAATACTATACAGTGTTTTCCCAAGTTTGACAGTGAGCCTAATGCTAGTTTATATCAATCCCCTGACCCCTCCTGACCCCTCGCGCCACCTGACTGCCAGTGATTCACATCTGAAAAATGTCTGGCACAAGGAAGCAGAGGCTTCAAAGGCCATAAACAGCCATTAACTGCGAGTTATAAGTGACTCCGTTTGTTCATACAGTGTAAAAGGTTTTTATCTTTTTTATTTATTTTTTTGCTGCTGTAATATCCTGTCACTCGCACTTCTATCTCTTTGGCATGGGTTACACAAACAGGCTCTCAACCAGAGTAAAGTAAGAGCAACAGAGAGCAAGAAAGGCTAGCAACAGCATTTTTGATAGCATTTCAGCATGTAAAATACTCAAATGCCCTGTGTGCCCTGTGGCTCAAATCAGAGTCACAGGGCATTGGGGCCTATTCCAGCTGTCATAGGGCAAAAGGCAGGGTACAACCTGGACAGACCACCAGTCCACAGCAGGAACACAGAGATGACCATTCACGCTCACATTCACACCTACGGACAATTATAGGATCACCTTACGTGCATGCTTTTGGATAGTCGGGGGAAGCTGGAGTACTTTGGGAGAACATGTAAACTCCAGATGGCCTGATCAGGGATCTTATTGCTCTGAGGCAACAGTGCTGACTGCTGCACCATCATGCCATACTCTTCAAATTCAATACCAGAGTATTGGACAGTCAAATGTCAGACACATCCAGATGCAATTCTTCCTCATAGATTTAATGAAATTTAGGGAAACTTCTTTTAAAACCTTTTACATTTTTAGAAAACATTTCTATAAATGTTTTTCTGTAACTGTGAGACACCTGCTGCTGCCTATCTTGGCCAGGTCTCCCTTGAGAGTTAAGAGTTTCCTTGTTAAGAGCCAGAGTTCAAAACAAAATCACTGCACTCAACTTCATTAACATTTAGCTTATAAATATGTTATAATTATGAATAATTAGAACGCCAGGTTAGCAAAGGGCTAGTACAAGTATAAAAATTGCATTCTATCAAAACCTTTAAACTGGTAATTGTGGAGTATGTGGTAACAGTTTTGATACAACTGAAAGAAGAAAAGGTGTTATCTGTTTACTGGTTTCTTAACCCACCACCTCTGTTCAATGATAGTCATTCACTGGGTACATAGATGCTTTCTTTAAGGCCAGATTTTCCCGGCCCAATTGTCGCTTTTCTCGCCACTGTAACATTGTCTCAAATTGCAGTATTCTCCTGAATGATAGGTGTTGCAACTCAGATAATACTGGCACATAAATACTGATATACAAGGAAAATAAGCCAAAACCAGAAGCAAAGATTTGACTTTTTGTTTTTTTGCAAAGTTTTCGCAAATTCACAAATTCTCAAGTTTTCAAAAAGTTGCAAAATCTTCCTCTGTATATCTGTAAGTCTTTGAGCTTCTGTGCTGGAATATCATTAAAGTGGCCGTAAAAAACCCGACACGATCGTACACTCGTGTCTTCAACCCAGCTTTGGCACCCGGTTTCAAAAACGGCGAGGTACACGACCTGACTGGCTGAAGCGCCACAAAGATTTTGGCATGCAACACACGAAGCTACGTCAAAATCAGCACACGACACCCGCGATAATGAGCGTAGGGCCATTAGTCGTATTGAACCATCTCTGTCACCGAACACTGAACACTCGTCTCTTCGATACATTCAGGCATAGCTCTCGAAACATGTGCATTTCAGCATTCTTTGCCAGCCAGGAAGAAAGCATGGGTGGCACTGGCAGTTCAAGATTTTAACTTGAAAAATGCAATACAGTATCTCAGTATCTCTATCTAACTTACACAATATAAAAATTGTGACTAATATTATTATTCCATGTGCAACTCAACTCTACTTAAGCCTGGTGATTGTTGTGGGGTGGCTTTTAATATTACTCAGAGGCAACAACAACTTTCATTGAAAATAACAAATATAGTGAAGTCGTGCCTTTGAAATATAACTTTAACTTTAATGAGAACAAATCTGACTCGTTCACATTGCAAAAATCTCCCAAAACATTAACGCACTTAAAGGCTATTCTCTTTCAAGTCATCTGATTTCTTAAAGCTGTTCTGAAAGACTATTTAATGTCTCTTGTTGCCTGTCTCTGAAGAGATCTGACAAAACTGCTGTAAAATTTAGTTTCACAAAAACCCAATGGGTGATGCTTTAAAAATGAAATGCTTTTTTGTAATTCTGGCCAAATGCTTGATTGCTGAAATAATGATGTGGAAATAAGCTCACAAGTGTGTTTCAATCACAACTTAAAACCTCTTTATCAGTTGCCGTGTAGATTTTCACCAGCAAACGCCCGAAATGCCTGCGGCAGAAGCTTTTTTTTGTTTTTTGTTCCTTTCTATATTTTGGATAAGATTTCAAACATTCATATCCTCCAACAGAGCCTTTTGCATTCTGCAATCTTCAGATATCAGCTAGTAAGAGTCTAGGTGCCCACAGTGAACGAATTTGGAAAGAAAGGGTAGTAGTCATGCTCACGCTATTTAACTGACCAAATGATTATCGGGATTTTTTCAGTCACAGATACATAGTACAGGGCTGTGTTCAATATTGCTGCAACAGAGAACTTTCTATCTGTAAGGTATTCTATGTTTGTCAGCTGATGTAAATTCCTGTCCCCACCATCATACCGCTGCTACTGCAGGAACAGAGGTCAAACATGGCAACATTTTTGTAGTCTGACAGTGATGCAAATTGAAAATTATACATAACAGCAAATTAGGCAATTGCGTTAAAGTCTTACAATGTAGCTATTTACGTTGTAGCAATAACCGAACAATGCTACAAGTGCTCCTTGTGAGATTTCAACAGTGACGCACACCAAACATGCTTCTGTTGGCCATTTTTACTGCAAGAGTCCTTAACCCTCCGCTGAAGCCGTAACCTTAGTTCACACTAAGTTTTAGAAGTTGACTTCCTATCAGCCCTTGTAACAAAGTTTCTGTTTCTAAGCTGCTTTTTTTTTTTAATTTAACAGGATTATAATTTCCTTTGCCTTTGAATCATCTAGATCCTGGTCTAAATACTCAGAACCTACCAAAGCCAATAAAATATCACTTCTTTCTGCCAGTCTCTCGACTGCTGTATGTTGGAAAGGTTCCATGCATAAAATATCACTGAGATCTACCCACATATATCCAGTACATTCTGTAATATAACCAACCTTAAACCAAAGTTTTCTTTCCCTTCATACAGCTCCAAGCTATTAATTATTTGCACTATTATGCATATTTAAAAATCAAGGAAAAGATTACCAACAACCTAAGGCCAGCCTATACAAAAAAAAAAGAACAAGAAAGAAATCCAAGTGTTGCATCAGTGAAGATTTGTCTTGTTTGATTAATCAGACTTGGTCTTCCGGGGCATTTCCAGTTCACTCATGCAGACATTACCAAATATAACAGCACATAGCTATAGGTAATTTAATAAACCACCAGTTCTGTTCAGCTGTTAACAATGCAATCAGAAATATCAGCACTGGAATAAATACTGTGAACAACAAGAGCATGTGCAGGAGCATGACAGGCAAACACAAAACAGTACACCTCGACTCAACACTTGACTGGCGCTAAAAAGCCAAGACTTTGTAGACCTGGACATTGGTATGCAGCTGATATGCTTCAGAATACAAAAAATGAACTTTGTCCCAATTCTACATAACACATTCCACTTTTTATTAGCATATTTTCTTTGACTTTAAGCTGCACTATTGACCATGTAATGTACTGAAAGCTTGTAGCAGATGTGTAAACTGAAAAAAGATCATATAGGATTGTGCATTCCAACATGTCATATTGTTGTGAAGATTTTAATATTTTTGTGAATTAAAATTCAAAAAGGATCCCTACTTTAAGGATCTATTAACAGCCCTGGCTAACAGTAAAAAAATGTTTGGGAGCTCTAGACTAAACAGTCAAACAGGATTTTTGCAATATTTTATTATGGAGCCCTCATATACAGAGGAAAGGGAAGGCAAAGATTACAAACTCCAGGGTCAATGATTTCAGGAGAACTCCTCCTTAAACAAAATCATTGTTTGACTCTTTCAATACAAAGTCTGTTCCAGTACCTAAGCAAAACACATGATTATTAGAGCGCCCTCACAAGCACCACAGAGATTTCTGCTGCAACCTCCAAACAGTCGGTAATGCAGCCTTATTATCTTCTGAGATTTGTTCACCACCATAAGTGCAAATACTTAAAACTCTCTTCACACACAGTCTTTGCCATCTCCTGAGCTACACTCACAGTCACATCAGCCCAAGTGCTGGTGTGCAGTTTCAGGGCTTTTTTATTTTTCTAATTCAGCAGTTTTCAGAGGAATGCTGTGCAGCTAAAACTGAAGTGAAGCTTTTTCGATTGCTCAGAGGATTTACCTGTACTCGTGACTGTCCTGGAATCTTGTGCTGTTGGCAACTCGTTGCTGTGCCGTCTCCATCAGCAGCTTCTGAGTCAGACGGCTGCTTGGCGTGGGGTCGCACTCAGGCAGCTCCTCTGGTCCTTGGTCGCATCTCCATTCCTCATACTCCTTTAAAGGTGGTAAATAGCTCGATAGCCCCTTTCCATTGCCAGAAACCGAGCTCTGGTCACTGTACAACTTTGGGCTTTCACCCCCTGTCCGTGTGTATTCCAAATATAGGTCAGATTTAAGGAATAATGGATAGGTATTTTCCTCCATCATAGTCTGTATTTCAGTCTGAGCCTGATCAAACATGGCAGGATCAATGTGAAGCTTCATCACACAGTCTCTGATGAAGGACTTTGTAGCTGGTTTGATCTGTCTAGAGACAATCCCATTGTTGTCCAGGATGTATTTTTTATATATCAGCTTTGCCAGTTTCACCTTCTTCTCCTCAGTAACCTCACTGGCTTCAAGTTTCCGAAAACCACTGCAGGCAAACCAGAAGTCCAACATATCTGCACATTCCTCTTGCTTGAGGAACGTCCTAAACAGCAGGATGCCATCCTGGTCATCCAGGAGAGAATGAAGAGATTCCGCCCACTTTAAGTAGGGTGGTGTTGGCGAAGCGCTGCCCTCCGGCTCGTAACCCAGGTCCAAGTCAGATCGCCTGGGTGTAGCCACAGACGGCTCACATTTGAGGCTCTCATTCTTCGAGGAGAAGCTGAGGTTGCTGTGCTGGCGACCATCACTGCATATGAGCTCTCCTTCTTCACCGGGGACAGGAGGTCTGGGAGCATCCTCAGTGAAGCTGCCTCCTAGGTCTGCTAAGTAGCCCCGTTTGTCGCTTATGCTCATAGTCCCAGCATCCATATACCACGTCCCCGTAGAGCCCACACTGCACAACTATTCGATCCAGAGTTCTACTTATGCCACTGCAAAAGAACTCCTGCAAGGAGGAAAATTTATAATGAGATGCAGCTTCAACACGTCATAGAAAGGCAGTCTTTTGCTACTCAGTGACAGGGCACTAACAGTGGAACATTGCTCTGAGGTTTTTACAATACAATTTATTCCACACTGAGAAATTCACAATCAATATAATACCAATGTGGTTTTTGGGCTTTTTCTTTTGCCGGATTTTTTTAAAGCAGGTAAATAAATATCACTTATTTCTGTGTCAGCTTTTGAAAACTACTCTAAAGCCCTAAAGCACATTGATCTCACATTTGAGTCATGTCCAATAACACACCCACAGTAAAAATCAGTACAGCGGTACTTTATAATCAAAAAAGCATAAAGTGAAAGAAAAGCATTCATGCGCTAGGATCAGATATTCGACATTCAATCTGCAAACCTGAGCAGAAATCGAAATCTACAGCTATTAGGCCTTTAATATGCGCCGAAAGTCTAGAGGCGTATTTTTACTAGACAGCAGTATGAATACAGTGTAGCAAATGCATATCATTAGCTCACACATCTATTCCAGTTTCATTCAAATTAGTATTGGAAGGGTGAAAATTCACTTGGGGTTTACAAAATTAAATTGATAATGAAGCAGCCCAAGTCTATTTCCCACTAGCTGACATAGCAGTACTGCAAATGACACATTCTACATCCTTATGCCATATTCTCGTTTTATATGATACCCCCTGGTGTTAGGGAAGGACCTGGGATGGTGTATCAAATGATTTTAGGGATCAAGGACACATCTTAGTCTTTGTGTAATAACCAAGTGTGCTGCTTTTTTGCTGAGGAACGACACCGTAGAGCCCGGATCTCCACCTCTACGCAGTCCGGACTGCTTAGCTTATGGCTAAGCTTCCCAGATACTGTGTCAGGATTCAATTTAAGGTCTAATGCAGCCACAGCTGACCCTTTAAATTCACATATCCACAGCAGCTCCACTACATATCCACTACTTCTTGACAGCTGCAAGCAGATCCAAATCACGGGTAGAGAAGCTGAACGCAAATAGCCCTGACTTCAGCCTAAATCACTTCCCAATCGAAATCCCAGTGCAGCCTACTTGTTGACTAATAGGATTAAATATAAATGTTGCCAAATTATGATTTCAGAACAAATGACAGGTGGGTTTACTGTAGCAAGATCACCCTTCCCTTTAGGGCACACCCACTCTCTTGTCTGGTTCAGTACTGATACAAATCTTTTCTTTCTGATTGAACAAAGGCTGTATGAAGACAAAACTGGCAGCAGCGGCTCTGCTCGCTGCAGAGCCCTGGAGTGTGAGCAGCACGTGCACTGTGCATCAGGCCAGATGTGCTGGAATGAAAATTAGCCCTCCCCTCCAAGAAAACGAGCGTTTCAGGCCTATTAACGATGCTGGTAGGAATAAATCACCCGGGCAAACTGCTGCTACCTGTAAAGACGATGCATCCGCGTATTAATATATAAATGAACCTTCTGTGCTCTCAGGTGTGCGGCTCCGGCGGAGGTATATTTAGAAGGGATTCCATACAATTTCCGCCGGTCAGAGTCGAGTTAAAACAGGGGGAAAATGACCCTTTTTTCTGAAACCGTGTCAGTTGGGTTGTTCCTTTGAAGTGAGCCTCTCATCACATCCATGTCTTGGCCTCTCCAGAATGAGCAGAACGACAGCGAGTGGGGGAGGGGAGCCAGAAACAAACTCCACACACACACACACACACACACATAGAGGGAGAGAGCGAGCCAGGCCTATCAGCAGCCGACCGACAAGTGCACAACTTTGTCACACTAATAATATCTGTGGTGTACCCGCTAACAGCTGCTAAACTAAACACACAGCATAAGCACCCGTAAACATTTCCCCTACCGTCAGAGGACACAGAGGGAATCCCAGCAACCATTTCCGAACACATTTACAATCAGCAAAGCAAAGCGATGGTATATTTCCCCCCCGATTACCGCAATCCCAATCTCTGAGCAAGGGGGGAGCCATTAAAAAAAGTGACATATACTTAACCGGTGAAAATCTTTCTGCTTGCGAGTGCATCGGGCTATCGGACCGACACGAGTCCCAGCCGACAGTGTCATTGTTGCGAATTGCAAGAGTTTAAAAATAACAAAGAAAGCAGCCCGCTCTCCGCCTCTCCATGGCTGTCTCTCACTGTCTGTATGGAGCTGAGGCTACAGGAGATGATGCACAGCGCCTCGCCTGTTCACTTCACAAACTGCCGGTGTTAAGCTTCGGTACATGTGGTACACCGATTTTTCCTCTCCACCCGCCTCCTCCTCCCCTCTCTCTCTCTTTCAAGTGGTGAAATACATGAAAATTCATGCATAATGCACAGAAATACGACATAACAACACATTTAAAAAGTCAACCTAAAATAAAACCGCAGTCAATACGACTGATTAACTGCTACACACATCAGCATCACTGTGGACATTAAGCTGAAAAGCCGTTTTTTTGTTGTTCACATCAGATCTACAGCCAGTATGATAACCTGTGATGTCAGCGTTGCCCTGATTTTTAATCCCTGGTATATATAAAGATTCAAAAATGCTCAACTGTTTACCTTAATGGGTTTGAGGAGCCTTATTTTGTCAGAGTGTGTCTTGCCAGGCAGAAACCATGACACAGACTCAGAATGTATCCACAAAAGACACTAAAGAACTTCTTCAGGGAATGAGTAGCACTTATCAGCAAGAGTAGACTACACTTCAGAGCAGGTTGGGCAACCACTTGTTTCGGAGTCAGAGAGTCTACAGGTTTCATTCCAACCACAGACTGCATCAGATGACTTTACTGATTATTCTACAAGAGCCGCTTTGATCAGTTAAAATCAGCAAAGGTTTACTCTTCCTGTTATGTGCTGCATTCAGGCGGCCTTTATCATAAACTTTTACCACCAGGAAGTTTCGCTAGAACATCTGATAAAGCAGACATCAAACGTACCGGTACATAACACATAATGATGAGGCCATCAGCTAAACTTTAACATACTAATAGTGTGAAAACAATGAATCTGGCTGGCCTCATTATTCATGACACAAAAAAATATGGTACATTTTCTGTGTAAATGCAATTTTTGCAAGTATTTTTAAAGCAACTGGGATAAAGAGATCTTGTTCGAGTGTCTTTATGAAGAAAACTGAAATGCATGAATTAACAAATATAATAAGCAGTTTGCAATAGCCAATGTGCAGCTGCTGACTGATTGTGTCATTTGAATTCCTCAGCTGTCACACTGTTTTACTGAGCCTAAGATGTAAAGCTAGTGGGACACTATAATAACATATTGTTTTTGATTAGTAAGTAATTACATGAAATCATTAAAAAAAAAACTAGAGTAAGATAACAGGATACAGGTGTATACAACAAGAACACAAACATTTCACACTTTGTCTCAACGTATCACTCCAAACACCGGCTCAAACCTGGAAACCTTTCAAGTGTGAACTGTAGTTCTTACAATATTTATGCGGGCAACATAAAACATGAAAAAGGCCCAATGCACTGCAGCCTCCTCGAGGCAAAATTGATTTTGTGCAGAAGCAGTTTAAGCATTTTAAGTACCCTGACAGTTCTCTCTTTATAGCATCAGTTACTCTGTGTTATTGTTGTTTCTTCCAAAAGCAAATCAGAATAATTCCAGCACTGTCAATTTTTTAACTGGTACTTTCTTTGAGTGAAACAAAAATAATTTGGTCCTCTAGTCACATATGTAGATCTGTAGTTTAAATCTTGATGTTTTTATGGATTCATTCTTAGCTTTTAACAATCAAACAGGTAATGTTGTGAAGAACAGCTTCTTACGAACTACAAGTGCTAATACAAATAGTTATCCAAACCTTTGTCACTCCTCAGCTGGTTAACTGTAAATCCCTGCACATATTCGTGACATATCGATATCAGAATTTGTAATGGCCGATGAATATAAGATGGGAGATGTTGCATAGTCTGTCAGCCAGGGGGCACTGTGTAACTTCCCAGTTGGCAACACTTGTTTGGAATATCCCAATCATAACAACCAGTTTGTCCGAGCAGAGTCGGGCAGAGCGTAAACAGAGTGTACACAAGTAATCCATGGCTTGCTGTGACAATAATCAAGCATTGTGATGTTATCTTAATAAGGACTCGTGAATAACTACTCCTATAAAATGATAGGCAAATCTGTTTATGTTTGAAAGGGAAAAAAATGGCTGATTATATTTGTAAATGACCATATATCAGTATTGGCCTTAAAAATCTTGCATTGGCCAGGCTATAGTATTATAGTCTTATAGTATTATAAGACAACGCATCACTGTTGTTTTTACTCACTGGCCAGCTGTGAAATAAGGAACTGATTTTAAACATTTTAATTGTTAAAGCCCTTCATGAATCAGCTGCACAAAAATATTACAGGTTTTTTAATTCCATATTTTGCTCCTTAAGGTCATCCCAACAATTTCTCTTCGTCTTGTCTATAATCTAAAGGCAACCATTCTCTGCCACCAGACTCTGGAATCGTCCCACATAAGAACATATTTATGTGCTTATTTTAACTGACAAATTAATCATTTTATCCTAGGGTTTGCATACCATTTTATTTATTTATTGCATATTTTATTAGTTTTTTTTTATTGTTATCACATTGCCTTGTTATGGGTTCTTGCGTTTTGTACCTGTTTTTGGAGACTTGAGAGTATACTATGAAGCAAGATCAATGGGTTAGCGATGATGAGTTTAAAGTCAGAGTTTTACATGAGCAACTTGCTAAGGCGTACATTACTAAAGCTATTTTAATATCCCCTTTAGTGGGCTACTTGGAATAGTAACATGTGATGTTGCTTGTATCTAATCTAAAGTTTCCAAGCTCCAATTAAAAATCCAATTAAAAACAACCAGCAGCACCAAGAGTGCAATCAGCTTTAAAATAAATACATGAACTCCAGTCAAAATCTTTATTTTAACGCTCTTGTTGCAGCATTACTCTCTTTGCTTATTTCCAGTAGTGTTGTACTTTTTGTCGGATTGTTTTTGAATCATCATGACCTGATAATGTCTATGATTGGAATCATTTTGTGAAAAAGAAAAGTCATATGGCGAGTGAAACGCCTCCTTTTATGTCAGGACACACAAAGCCTGAACCAGAAAACCAAGTTTAACGGAGAAAGTTGAAAGATACCCCTTATCACTGACTGAGAGTTTCAGGTTTAGTCAAGCCAGCTAGCGCAAAGGAAGTGTTGCTATGTCAAACTTCTTTTGTAGTATACTCCTTTGTAGTGTTAACTGGAAATTTTCTCCTCCAAGGGTCAACAGCTTCTGGGTCTACATGTTTATATTTGGTGAACACACAGATGGAGAAAAGGCAGATCTGCAAGCAAATCCACCTGCATTACCTTGAGTTTGATTGACTTCCTCACGCATCCTCCAGTAGTGCATCCTTTTATTGAAGATTCCATTGTATTGTTACTCAGCACACATTTCTTCTGCAAAGGTAAAGCCCTTCTCACCCCCGTGAAATGGAAAGTCCTGGCTGAAGCAGAATGTCGCCATAATGGTTTGCCATTGCCATCCATTTGCTTCTGAAAAGAAAGAAATATTGGTTAAGACTAGTTCCTACATAACTGAAAAAATGCAGGAGTTCAACATTATGGAACAGTTACATTTTCATTTGAAGATGTTTCTGCTGCAATATATCTGAAACCAAAACCATTACTGATCTACATTCGAAATATTCTTGAAAAAACAAAGCTAAAGCTCCTAACACTAGGGTAGGGTGGCCTCATGCCCAACACAATGACCCAGTCCATTACACCGATAGTTTAAAATTGTAAAAAACTATAAAATTGTAGGGTCTTTACTTTAGATTATAAAGTGCCTTGAGGCGTTGTGATTTGGTGCCCTATAAATAAAACTGAATTGAATTAAAAAGCTCAACTTTTTACAGTTTAATGATTGGAGAGAAGAGTCATTCAGTCCCTCCTGAGATAATTTGAGATGTTTTCTTAGTCACCACCCAAGTAGGATCTGTTGCACTACAAAAACCACTGACACAAGTTGACACTGAGGAAAGTACAGGAGTAGGTCAAAGAATCAAGAAGCAGGCAAACCATGCACAATATAGCATCCTCTCTAACCTTAGCCCTGCTGCCACCTTTAGTTCAAAGATGAATAACAATCTTACCGTAAATAAATCTCCCCGTTTGTACAAACTCCTCTTGTACAATCAGGAGTTGTGCAACCACAATTGGCACACAGATACCTCTTGAGCATCTAAAGGGTCTTATCTATACCACATGTAATGATGTTGTCACATTGTCTTGCAACTTTGTAACAGGCTAAGATGATATGATGACAACATTACATCTGATATAGATAAGAACCTTCAGATGCCCAAGAGGTATCTGTGTGCCAGTTTTGTGGTTGCACAACTCCTGATTGTACAGGAGGTGTCTGTGAGTAATCAGAGAGAGATTTCTCATATTACAGTTAAAGTAAATAAGAGGAGGTTAAAGTCCCCAAAATTAACAGATTTGATGGTTCCCAGAAGTCAGTTATCTGCTTTTAACTTCAGCAATTAACAAGAAATAAAATGTGCCTTTCTGCATAGAACTGTCCCTAAAAATAAGTGTGCTTTATCATAAAAGACAAATTCACACTTTGACCTCTTTTGGCATGCTGTCCAAAACATAACACCACAAACTGTAAATAACTGCAACAGTGAAAAGGTTTAAAAACATAAGCTCAAGAAGTCCTGTAACCAGAAGGCTTTTCAAACTGGACCTCTTTGATAGTTTGAAACAGCTGGGTGTGAAATTTGTACAAAAAAAATGTTCTTCCCTTTCTTTTTAACTACAAATAAATAACCCTCAAGCAACTGGCTCGGCCAAGCTGCTTAGTGCACAGAGGAACAATAGAAGAGGCTTCTCTGTGCCTAACTCTGAAGTGTGAACAAGTTTTCACTAAAATCAGCAAACCTATTGTAAAATAAGCACTTTGTGTCAGAATTGTTATGGAAACACACTTGTATAAAACCTTTAAGGAGAAGATTTTACATTTTATTCTTAATTCCTTTATGCATGCACCCATCCTTCATACTAAATTCTAAAAATGCACATTCACTATTCTGTACTTTGCAGGGGGGATTTTTTTTTTCACAACCCTACAAAGCTACCTTTTAAAAACTGTTCTCATATTTTAAAATATTCTCAAATTACTGCTGCAGTTAAGCATTACCAGAGGACAACTTCATGTCTCCCAGTTCAGCTCTTTATGCATTCTTTTGTTCCACCTGTCAGTGTGGATTTAGGCTCTTTTGTAGGCTTTGGCTGAAACAGGCTTATCTCTGCTGAAGACTCTCTGATGAACAAAGCCACATTAAGATATTTAAATGGAAGCTCCCATTTTCAGTGCACACAATAAAGATTTTTCAAGCTGGCTGTCTTCAAAGAGTTTGCCAAAAGTTAAGAAGTATAAAAGAAACAACGAAGAGGACAATGCATCTTTCAAAGCTCTCAAAACTATAATGTAAAGCAATCGCGGGGCTTATGGACTAAAAACATTCAAAACCGTTGATATGATGAACGAATATTAAAGCTTTTCTGTATTTGTTTTAAGTTCTGGAAATGATCCAAAGAGTAATATCAAAAGACTGTCAGAAAATGTATTCTGATGTCCTGCTGATATCCTTTGTCCAGGCTGAATAGATCATGACTAACAAGTCTTGGAATGGATTAGCCACAGAGGATTGAGCAATTTGCAGACTTGAGTTTATTTTGCAGGATATTATAGCTTGCAGAGCACCATATTCCCAGAAAAAGGGAAAATAAAGCTTATTAAAAGGCCTACATTTCCCATGGTGATATAATACCAAAGACATACATGCAGAACCATGTACCAAATGGCGAAAATACATTGCCAGACATCAGCCGGCTGGAAGAAATCCAAATTAATTTAAGTGTTCAATCTATCGTGGTCTTCACTTGTCTGGTCATCCGATACACACTCACTGGTCAAATCAGATGATGTGCTTTGCTTTTGATGAGAGGGCTGACACAACAAAACAGTACGGCACAGACATGAAAGACGGTAACAGACGTAAGGGAACGATACACAAGACAAAGGAACGTAACACCAATTTTCATCCTCACAGATTCCAAAGCAAACATTAGACCTGCTGGTTTACCTTACTGTGTGCTTCTTGGTTTTGTTGTGCTGAATCGCAGACTACTCCCACCGCTTTTCTAGGCATCGAGTATAGTCCTTCATAGTCTGCAGTAAAGACAGCCGCCATCTTTAATCACAACAGAGTCCATCTGTCGATGGTTCTTCCCTTTCTACCCTCTCTTTCTCTGTTCCAGTCTCTCTGTTCCAGCCCTCTGTTTGTTGTGGGGGGGTTCTTATTTTCCATCCAACATCAAACCACCATATCGACAGGCTCATGGGCCGCCCAGTAGGGGAGCAGCTTGAACATGCTGCATTGGCTGTTGTCCTTTTCCAAGCTGCAGTTGAACTGACCGCATTTATTTTTCTCTGACTTATATGGATAGCTCGCGTAACATATTTCTGCTCTCAGGCCTTTGATTTCAACAAGCCTGGCCTCAAAGCTCCTCCATGATTGGTCCTGAATGCATCTTTTCTTTGGATGTTCTGATTGATGTGTTTTGGGGTTCTCTTTGATTTAGGCCACATCTGTGTAACTACAATTAAATTCATGTATTTTTATTCAGGATTCAGATCGTTTAAGCCTCAAATCTGTTTTAATGTTTTGGGTCTCTTCCCCCTTATTTTCAGCTATTCCGTCATATGAAATGTACAAAGAACATCGTTCCTTTAAAGCAAAGCTCAGCTGAAATTCTTTGATCTCACCAACTGAAGCTCAGTTTGACTTAAGAACCTTCGGACACAATTATAAGTCTAAAGACTGTATCTGCCAGCTTTCGTCCAGCTAATGCATTTCATTTAAAGTGACATTTCTTTTTTGCTCCTTTTTGGCTTTCAAAGCTTGAATGCAAAGCCGTATATTGTTTACTGTCACTGTTGTTGCACCAAACTCTTTGAATGAACAATGAAAGGAGTTGAATTTCAAAATGGTAGATGCTCTCACCTTTCTCTCCTGCTGTTTGGCTCGTCGGATCTTATTTCTGTTGTCCGCCATGACTGGGCGCAGTCCCCTGTCTGCCACTCTACAATACTTTCTGCTCATAATGATTCTTACTAGTGTGTTGCTGAAAGATGAGCATCTTTACTTTATATTACAGCTTTAGCCGTGCGACCCTATTGGAGGAAACAAGGACCAGATGATTGCATGCACAATGGTATTGTAGCTATGGTAACAGACCCAACAGGCATGAGGACGTGCACCTAATTGCTTGTACAAATTTTAAAAAGAGAGAGAGAGAGTAAGGAAAAGAGTGAGAGAGAGGGAGAAATATAAGTATTCAGTCAAATTGAATTGTTTCTTAGACGTCTTGCAGGCTTTTCAGCCATGAGAGGATTTGTTATTTAAACTTACACGTATGTGCTGTGTAAGGCGGTGGAAACAGCCCCGTTAATAAGCAAATGAATGCAAAGAAAAGAGAAGAGATGTGGGTGAACAGAATATTTGGAGAGAGAAAGAGAGATGATATTCCCTTTGTCATGCAGCTTAATCAGTTGCTTACCTTTCAAGTGGATTTCACACTTGCATGTCTGTTTGCGACCAGGGTCAAATACCCTTCGCACAATGACCAATTTTCCCTTCAAACTACACCAGCAGAGACCTGCAGCGTTGGCTGCCACTTCATCACATTTAATTTACACTATCTACGCTTAAAACTTACATTTAGGTTGCTCTATTTAAAAAAAACAAAAAACATATTTGTGCAAATCTGTCAAAATTACTATCACTTTGTTACTTTGTTCTTTTTCTCAACAAAATTCCAACCGCTTAGCTGTCCAAGTAACTTTACTGTGTATTGCTTTAACAGAGGTTAGTGCTCTTTTTATGTGATTTTCTACAAAAAACGGAGGAAACAATTATCTTTATTGAGGTAATCTAACATACTTCTGCACTTCTAAAGTTTATTTTATGGTTCTGCATGTATCTTCATTTCCATAAGTATTTGCCTATGCAGAGGGACTTACGCAACTTACGCAAACACGCTTGCATCCAGCTCTCCAAGGAACTAACAGTATGAAGCTCAGTCAATGAACGTGCGCTGACTGACTGAAAATTGGGCCATAACAGAAATGGGAGGAATAGAAGAGTTCACCACAAACAGTGGAAACACAAAAAAGCAAAAAGCACAGTTGGTTGCTACAGTGGATGCTTTTCCTTCTTTTTAACACTTCATTTCACATCAGCTTTTTGTATAACTTTGCTCTTCTCCATGGCCACTTGCTTGTGACAGTGACCCCCAGTGATGGGAAGCAGCTACAAAGTATCAACACGCAGCCAAAGATGGTTGCAATTACTGATAAGTCAAAGGAGCAATGTATTGACAGCATTTAGTAGAAGCCCTCAGGGATTAATGAAGGTCTGTTATCGTGATGGTGGTGCTAATGTGCATGCTCTGCATGTACATGGTTATTAAGGAAAACATCTCTAAGCGTTTTATGCATGGACAAGGAAAATAAGAGTCAACATCAGCTTTGACTGTGCATGCTTTTATCTAATTTTTAACTTCAGACTGTGCACAGTATTCTCGACAGCACTTTTCTACAGTTGACCACCTGATGTGCTACGATGTTCTTGACAGCACTTCCTTTGCATTTTTCATGGATGAAATGAAAACAGAAAATCCTTTCTTTAAAATAACTCGTGTTGACGTAGCCCTTTTTAAGGAACTATAAAAGATAGAAATAGCTACAGAGATGTCACCCATTGGTTTGTGAAGTCCCATTTTGAAGCCTTGAGATCAGCCTTTCCAGGAAAACAGATGTGATAAGAACAGGCGTGTCTGAAACATCACTTGCTCATTGGCTCATTGGCCATAGCTTGTTAGTAACAAGTCCTTAGCCAGAGAGTGGGGAGAAAATGCCACGGCATGACCAAAATTTCCAAAATAGATTTAGGTTTTTATTTAGTGTGACACAAAATAAGTTACTGAGTGCATAAACACAGCAGGGAAGTGTTTAACGGGCCAAACAGAAAAAAATATTTTCTGATAAAATTCTACAGGATCAGGAGTCTTTTTGCAATAATAGCCATCACCATCTAGAGGCACTTTTACATTGACTTCAAACTAATTCTATAAAACTAATTTTAAAGGCACCAAAGGCAATTGATTAGCTTTTCTGCCACAACAAAAAAAAAAGGTTAATAACTATATCGATCAAATCAAAACAAGAATGATAACTTTCTGGTTCGGTCGAATTTGTCAATTTGTTGGCTTTCTTTTATTCCATACTTTCTGCTAAAGTACAAGTGCAAACTTTAAACATAGTGCATACATGGTTAGCACTTGTGATCTCTGCAATATGAAAGAATATACAGGGAATTATTTTTTTATGAAATGAACAACTTTTTATCAAAACCAGTCTAGCGTGACTGCCATAAAAATGCTTAAAGATGTAAAATAGAAAAACAACCAGAAGGTTAGTGCAGACTATTTATTTTTATATTTATTTATTGTCCACTTACTGTCAGTTACCAGAACTCAGACAAAGCAAATGTGCTTCAGTCTAGAGGAAAAAAAAATCTTGTCTGTTTACCACAAAAAATAAATAAATAAATATTCTCATAGTTTCAGGGCAAAAGAGTATTCATTCACAGGCAGCATAGCAAAATAGGATTTCTCACAGCAACAGACCAATAAATAATTAAACAGACTGCTACAGTGATACTACTTATTCTCTCAGGGAGTAAGATGCTTGGTGTTTCCTTCATAAAGAAGAATGCACACTGTAATCTTACACTGGAAAATATTCTATTTCTCAGGTTGTAATGTTGCAGGGGTTTATGATTTGAAAAAGAAGACCAGGGAAAAAATCATCTATGAGCTATAAAATAAACCACAGGCCCTTTGAGCAGTTTGAAATCCTTTTGATTCAATGCTGGATACTTATCTGGTTTTATTGTAGAAACCTGCCCGTAAGACAGTTACAGTCTGCTCAATAAAAGTTCATCTTAAGAGCATGCAATCCAAATCAAATCACATAATTCCCTAGATGGGAACTGTAGTTCAACAGTCACCTTTGTTAAATACTTGAGAAACTTAAAAAAATCTCACAGTCTGAAAAAATATATTAGTATATTAATAAATGTATCACTCTTGTTTTTAAGTACTTTGCTATTTATTTTAGATGAAAGTTTGCTGCTTTGGTCTACTAAAGCACAGAAAGAAACTGGCATGTTTCAAGGCACTCTGAATTCAATTTACCTGTGTGTTTTTATTCCACAGAAAGCCAATTTTCAGTCTGTAGTGCTGTATGTGCTATAAGCAGGTCAAGGTGAGTACTCTACATCTGCAGTTTCCACTGCTAACACACTCCCACTGGAAATGAGTCTTATTCATTTTTCAAACAGCCTCTAGCATATCTGATAAAATAAAATATAAAAAGCAGCTCGGCCAAGCATTCATCTTTGATGTTTTGCAAAGAAATACTGTGGAAAGCTGCAGTCTGATTTCATGCATATTGTATTCCTTGTATTCCTTAGCAACGAATTGCAAGCAGCTCACTGGTTTTTGTAGCTACTTCTCATTCATGTCCATCTCTGTCAATTCCATACTGACTAAAACAATAGGAGTGCACAAAATTGGATTCGATTTAGATTTGTTCTGATCATACATTTTCTGTAGCACCACTGTTAGGCCAAGCTGGGAAATACAATGTTTTTGAGTTCCTGAGCTTGCAGACATTATTTCAATCACTTACACTTTATACATTGTTTGATAACAGTTTTTTGTTTGTTTGTTTGTTTGTTTGTTTGTTTGTTTGTTTTAAGAAAAATAACTTTATCAATAAGATAATTATTTATATATAAGAAGGGTAAACCTTCAGGTAACATCATCTTTACTTTTGCTTGACCCCATTGCTTAAATTAGTTCAATTCTACATTGTGTACTGTTTTAGTTTTGCAGAGTGTAGCAACATCACCATTTCTAGTAGCTTTCAACAGAAACAAAGAGTAACAAAGAGTAACAACAACAGCAAACCTACCTTCTGTGTAGCTCTCTGTTGCTAACACTAGTCATAGGAGAGCAGAGACCTCTGCCTGCCAAAGATTACAAACCGATCTTGTTTTCATGGAGTAGAGATGGAGTAGAGAACAGTGCCCTCTTGTGGCCAAATGTCGACAATACATTTGTACCGATTGCATGTTTTATCTCAGCAGCATAATGGCGCCTGTCTCGTGGGAAAAAGACCTGAAGTAGCAGCTCTCCACAATAAGTCATGGAATATAAACTCACAATGAAAATACAGCTATTCTTATAACTATTAAATGATATCTTGATGACGAACACAGCGCAGGCGCGGTGGCCAAGTGGTAAGGCGTCGGTCTCGTAAACCGAAGATCGCGGGTTCGAACCCCGTCCGTGCCTTTTGTAGTATTAATTACTTTTAAACGTTAACTTTTGTGAGAGTAATTGCATTTGGGACCTTTTTCATTATTTTTCAAACAGTATATAGCTAGAAAATTAGCCACTGTAATCCAGGATGTTGAATACTTGCATTAATGTCTTGTCATACATTGAAAATACTGTACAAATAATACTTGGCTTGAGCTTGATAACTAAAAAAATATGTTTTTTTGTCATTTATAAACTAAAATAGCAGTTCAACATTATGAAATTTGAAATTCTGTACCCCATATCTGCTCAATAATTCTCAATGAAACACATGTTGGTCACATAGCACTGTGATCAGCTCTGAGACAGAATTAAATTCAATTTGTTACAAAATGTATTCAGAATCCACCCTCTTTCCTATATAGATAAAAGGTCCATAAATATTTGGACATGTTGTTTACATCACCACGGCAAATTTTAAATGAAACAATCGAGGTGTGCATATTTTCATCTATTTCAAATAATGCATTGATGAAAGTATTGTATTGAATGTTTAAGAATTTAAATACATATTTTTCAAAAAGGTTTTGATATTTGACTGACAAATGAGACCTGGTACTTTGTAATTCCATTACAAGCAGATAAAAGGTACTTGGCATCTGTTCATGGGAACAGGTCGTGCAATCAAATTCTTAATTATAAAAGACTATACTTACATATCGCGTAAGCAACCCAAGAGTTTCTAAGGACAGAGAAACAGGATATTCTTCAATAGTCAAGCCAGTCACTTGGTCTGAACTCAATATCACATTGTTCTCATGTACTGAAGACAAAACCAAAGACAAAGGCAGAGAGAGCAACAAACAAGCAGCAACTGCAGGAGGCTGGAGTAAAGGCCTAGCAGAGCATCTCAAGGAAGTAAATGCAGCATTTAGTCAAGTCTATGGATTCTACATTTCAGACAGTCATTGAGTACTTATATATAGCCCGTTATATTTAAAATTATATTAGCTTGTCCAGTTACTTTTGAGCATTCAAAAATGTATAAAGGCTCAAAAGTAACTGGACAAGGTGTGATGTCTCTATGTGTATAGAGACATCACACCTTCTAATTTGAATTTTGGGATAAGATCAAATTACTGGCGCAATCAGTATCATGAGAACTCATTTCAATGCAAGGCATAACTGCAAAGAGCCATGGATGAAGATTACATGGAAATGGAAAAATCTGTAGTAGATTTGCATATTTACCCATGTGTTTAAACAGCTCTAGCAGAGATCCACATTTTCTTATTGAACACTATTATGACATCACGAGTGTACATTTTATTCCCCAAAAACATTTCATTAGCTCAAAAATATATATTTGTATTTTTTATGCTCTGCAAACATACCACTGATGGTAGACTAGTGCAGTTTCCTGGGTAACGCTTCGTGTTGCAGCATCAATGATTCATATCTGGTTCATGTTGCATTGCAATCACGTTCTGTGTGCTGAAGTGACCCTTTGTGAAATGAGAGGTGATAGAAGGAAAACAACTGGAAAATGCTGCAGTGCTTTGCAAAAGCTTTAATCAGTGATGTTGACAACACACCGCTGACGGCTGATTTTCAGACTCTGGCTACAATCACTGAGACTCAGTGCTACACTTCCTTGGTCCTAAATCAGCACCTTTGTCACTAAAAAATATCACATGGCAAATTCACTGGTTCTGGAGGGTTTTCTTGTCATGATTGTGAAGTGGAAATGTCTTTTTGACTCTATGAGCAGAAGTTTTCAGGAACATGTTTACGACAAATTTTCTAAGATGAGTTTTTACTTACATCCATCCAAGTATATAATGCTGTGGGCGTTTTTTCCATCCTAAGATTTGTTGCCTTCAACCTTGTGCTTAATGCTTTTAATTCAAGATTCAGCTCAAGATCTATACTAGTCACCCAAGATGACATATACCAGCATGTACGCATAATGACACAGTCTCACCTTAGTGCCTATGAGATCAGAAAAGCAATTATCGCCTTCAAAATAGCTTTGGCTTTCACAGCAGCTTTTAAAATCCTAATATAGTAAGTAAGATACTACAACCAAGACACTTAGTAAGCTCAAATAGCCTCTGGACTGCCTAATGACAGATGTTTATCGCTTTTCCCTCTAGAGTTTTCCGTCACAGGTGGAGGCTGTGTGGAGAAACATGGAGGAAAATACTTTGAAAATGCATCTTCACACAGAATCACAGAGTCATTCATTAGTTTAAAAGGGCTGAGTCAGGGCTGTATTTCCAAATATAAAAAGTGCCACCCCAAGCTGAAACTTGAATAAATTCAGCTACTTGTTGCTTATATAATGACACATGGTATTTAAGTAGCAGGTTGTTATTACAAAGGGACTGTTAAGATTTCTACAGATTCTACTTTTCCCTAATTATAAACATTATTATTTTTGTGAATAATCCATGTGAAGAGCTGTATCATCTCTGTAATAGAATCCCCTTGAATTCATTTTCTGCCCTCTGCAATTTAAGCCTTAGAAAGAAGAAAAACACCACAAATGGAGTATAACAGGAGTAAAACAGGAGGAGGAGAACAAAGGAATCAGTAGCACGTGGCAGACTGGCAGCAGGTCTAGGCTGCGCTCACATTGATTTCCTTGTGGGCTGTATACTCTGCTTTCAAAAGAGATTTTTATACAGTGAAGGCAAGAGAAAGTGACCCATTCAACCTGCTCTTACATTCGGATCTCAGTTGGTAATTGTATTATGGAAATCAAAGTCCTTCAGTATCATCACTGAATTAGATGAATACAAAATCATCTGACATAGCATGTGGATAGCCTCCAGTCTAGCAAGGCATATCCACATATTTGTTTGTTGTTTATGTTTTGCGCCCTTTAAGCCAGACTTCACTGCGTGCCGTCTGGCTCTCCGTTGGGGACCCAAACAGTTGATTAAAGAATGCAATTAGCATGGAGCAGATTCTGTCAGCTCTCCTTTGGGGATTTAAATGCTATGAGTCGATGCACGATTTCTTCAAGAGGACCACATTGCTCTGCAAGATGCTAATATAGGGTCAGCTAAGACCAGGTTTTGCATTTGTATGCGCTAAAGGAAACATTATTTTCGGCAGTTTAAATGTAATGACTACCTAAAACTTACAGTGTATCTAAAATGTGTTTTAAAGAGAAACGGAATAAAATGTTTGTTCTTCAGAAACTTATAATGGCTAAAAGTGTTATTTTTACATATTTATTCATATTCATTCACCGTCTGTAGCAACCAGACCAGTGCGACCGAAGCTTTTCATAGTATTTATCTTTTCATTTTTACAGATGAAAATGAAAAGGAAAAAATAAAGAAGAAGAGTGGAATTTTGAGTCACTTTGTCTGCCATGCGGTGGATAGAGATGACTTCTTTAACCTCAGAGTTTACACATGGCCAAGCCTGGACACAATCACACAAGTGTTTTTGGGCTGTGACCCAGATTCTTAGTTCCAGTCCGGGACTTTGGGTGGAGCACTTTGGCGTCATCTCCCATTTCAGCCCACACAACTGAACTGCACTAATTCAAAGAAAACGTGTTTCCTATGTGAATTCCCTGACCAAGCTTACAGAAGTGTAATATCAGATAACATCAGATCAAGTAACGTTGAAGAAAGCTTTGGTTACTTTGATTACTGGCTGAGATACTCTTTACTGGACATCAGAGAGGAAATAAAGTTTTACCCCTTTTATCTAAAATTGGTCCCAAAACCAGAACACCAGTTGTGGATCCAAGAGAACATAAAACATTAATGCTTTTTAGTTAATATACTTTATTGAGTCAGTGACATGTTACTGATCATTATGAAGCACTAACAAGAGCTTTGTTTGGATGTGTAAAGATGCCTGCATAGCTGTGGATGTGGCTCCATCTACAGGTGAATATCAAATGTGTCAGTGTATTTACATATAGCCTCCTGTTATGAAGAGGGCTGAAGATGTAAAAAAAAAAAAAAGTTTCTTTATTTCAACGACTAAAGGAAACCATTGAAGAAACAATAAGATTCTGCAAGCAAAGTTTCCTAATGGCAACCCAGACAAAATCACCCGAGATCACCTTTAACCCTTATGAAAAGAAAAATTTAAAATTAAATATGTAAATCTTTAATCAGTAACCTGTGTGGTATGCAGATGTGTGTACTTGTGGTAGGTACATTAATTAAGAAATAAAGCACGCAATATTCTAACAATCTCAAATTAGCTGGAGGAGAGAAATAAAAAGACTGAGTCACTATATACCTTAGATGAACAATCAAATCACATTCTCCTAACCGCGAATCCAGGAAGTGGATATAGAGGCCTCAGGCCGTTGCACATGCAAAATCATTTGGTAGCTATTTAGGGATTATGAGGTAATCTGTACACATCATAGGAAAACACATGCAACTGTGACCATATTTTAAAACCTTAAAAGGAAGTAAACATGCAAGAGGTTTCAATTTTTTTTTTCAGTAATAAATACAAAAATAAAATTTGGCGCTGCTGCTGAGACTTTTCCCTCACTGGCTTTGGAAAAAAGTGGAGGAAGTCGTGTCAGAGCAGATTTTAAATATAAAGAAAACAACCCTCACCATTAGCTCAAGTGTGGGGAGTTTTTTTTTTTTAACTCCAGTAAATGAAATCCAGTCAAAAACACACCCAAAGCATAGAGTCAGCTTCACTGTTATGAAGCAGGCACTCCACTTCACAGTTCAGTAACACATGCTAGCCAATAAAAGTACTATTGTTAGGTCTGAGTATTTGATTGTTCCCTCTATTTGACTCGAGAAAGAAAATAGGTGGTGTTCATTTACTGTAATACGTTTTGTGTTTTTTATTAAAACAATTTCTGCAAAAGCAGAGTGACTGACTTACTGTAACGCTGCGTATATTAAAAGAAGAGGCACATAAGACACATAAAGATGTATTTATTGTGTCAGTAAATATTGCATGTAGGATGCTCATGGCCACATAGAAAATCTGGCCATAGTGCATATTTCCGAATGAAAGGTGCTTTTCTCAAACATTTGGCAGCATCTCTGTCACACTTGCACAGCAGCTTTTCGCATTGGTCCTTCAAATTATCTGCAATGAAGAACAGGATTTTCACTCATTTTCAGTCAATTTTTCATTAACATTGTGAATCTCTTTTTACGTTTGCTGTTTCATAGCTACGTATACAAACATTTGGAGAACTCCAGCTATATTTTTGTTTCATTTTTAGCAGTTTGTCTATAATTAGAGAAGTTCAGTAACCAGTTATAAATACCATTTGGGTCATGTTTAAACCTAATAATGTACAGTGCTTAATAAATTTAGCAGACCAACACTCGAAGTAAGGTTTATGACACAGCTGACCTAAATTAACACTCTTGGTAATCACCAAAATCATTTTTTATATATTTCTGTCATGGTTAATCTGCCAGTAAGTGCAAGTTCTTTAGTCAAAACTAGATTTTTTATGTGAAAATATAATTATTGCTGTTATCCACGAAATTCCAAGTTTACTGTTATACAAAAACCATGTTATTATTTTTTGATTCAGATGCCAAATTACAGTTATTTCTAAACAGAAAAAAATTTAGTGAATGAATAATATGCTTGATTCATTTCTGACCTCTAGGAGAAACCCAGTGTGCTAGGTATAAAAACATGAATTCAGTTTCCTATTTGCCTAATAAAAAACAAAACAATTTTAAGATAAGACAGGATTTTGACAGATTTCTAAAATATTTGTTTTGTCTTGTTTTTTTTTGGGGGGGGGGGGGGGGGGGGGGGGGGGTTTGACAGCTGGTCTTTTTGATAAGCAAATACTGTGCTTTATGCCATTAAGATATCCTGGATAAATTCTTCTTTTCTCCAATCAACTGTCTTCTTATTTGCTTTCTGTGTTTCACTATGGGAAAGCATGAGCAGCCTCATCCTTTCTGTGGCATAAACATGAAGGTGCAGGTGCCCACATGGCAGTTAAGCTGATTATAAGAGTGAGTGATCAAGGGCGATGACCATCTGACCACCAATTTCAAAATAAAATGAATAAATAACAGCGCTGCAATGTCAGTAATGGTCTCCGCTGGGGCATTCCTTTCAAAATTGTGTGCTTCTGCCACTGTTTGTCAGTAAGATTACACTAAAGCTATCTGTCTGCCTTTTGTGAATCCATCTAGGAGACATTGAGGGGTAGCAAAGGAAGATTTTATATTGGTACTGATCTCAATCTCAGTACAATTGGACTTAGTGAAGAACATCCTAAAATTCAAAGCCATGGAATTAATAAGAGCATCAGCTGTTTTAACTTTAAATCATGGATCGCAAAAAGAAAAACAAAAGAATGATAGAAATCGCAATACCACACTCAGCTGTCTTGTCCTCACAGGTCCACCGATACTGACTCAATTTTGTATAGCAGCCAAGACGTTCTGCATCTCCATAACAGCAATCATGTCTGTGGCAGCACCTGCACACAGACAGATTAACAACATGATAAATCCATTATTTTGAAAACTGAACTCGGCCCGATCTCAATCTAGGAAAGGCAGGGTAAAGAAAACAGTAGGTGGGTGGTTGCAAGGCTGTGGTTTAAATCACACCAGGACTATTTAAAAGGCAGGGCAGGATCACCACATGAGTTTTCACAACAGATAGTTAGAAGTTAACTGGCTTGAGGGGGTGAGATGTCTTGTGGTTAAGAAGGAAAAGAAGGAGACGGTAATTAGGATTTGGGTGTGGAATTTTTGGAGTAAGTATTGGACCGTGTGAGTCTGCTGAATTTACACAGCATTCCCTCCTTCCATCCCGTCGCACTGCATTTGTGGTTCACTCGACTCATTCAGAAGCGGAAACTATGCGTACACATCAGGATGTGGATAGACTGGGAAGAACCGACAGCATTTAGGAGGAGAAAATAATATGTACACATTATTTCCTCCTCCTGCGACGAAAGGCTAAACTTGACCTAAGTACTTGGAAGGATATTTTTTGCGAAGTGTAATGCCTAGGTTGGTTATATATAGTGTCAGCTGACTGTTTACATTTTGGAGTGCGCTATCTTCAGGTGACCAGATATACTATCCTCACCAATTTGTATTTTCTTCTGTCAGGTTCTTAAGGGAATGTGATAATAAATGCTGCCTCACCAGTCTGCCCTGTCCTTGGGCCAGCCTTGGCCGCCCAGACCACAGTAGCATCCGTACACCATATAAGCCAAAGCAGATCTCCCGGTGCTGCATTTGATTGCTCCTGCCAACTCAAGTAACCCTCGCTTTGTCCGCTGCGATCTGCGTGTTGCCGCAGAGGCCACAGTCACTGCAAAGAGACACAAACAACACAAGAGAAGGAAAGAAGTTATCTCTCTGTCCCTACACCGGTCCATGTACTATATATGCTTTAGTGATTTGGTATGCAACACAATCTTGATAAAATTATACATTAAAGAGTTGCAAAGACGTTTGTGCTGCTATTTGCTGGCTTTATATTGTAAAATGTAGCTGCAAATTGGATTTAGGATATAAGAAACTTTCTGTAGCTGGAATTGAAATGTTCAGATGTCCGTTGCAATAGGTAACAGTACTCAGAGGACTGACTTTCCTGTTACTCTCCCTGAACACCATACCTAAGGCTTAAAATCACAGACAAGCACATACTATTTTACAGCAAAATCAACACAATTTGCTCCATTTCAAGTGCTCACTGAATCACTGTTCTTGTGTAAACACAGGTAGTTTTCCCCTCAAACATGCACTGACTACCTCTTGAAATAACTTCTTAAGCGTGTAGTTTTCACTATGCTTCCCTGTGGAGCTCTCTTTTAAAGTAAATAATCACCTTACCAGATAGCAGGAGAAGTATCCGATAAAATACTGCCATGGCATGCAACAGGTAGTTAAAAATCTCATCTGTAAGTGCTCTTCACTTCCACCCTCTGAGTGTAACATTGAAAGGAGTGGAGAGCTTTTTATAGATGCTGTTTGAATAATCTCCTGAGCGTAACTATTGGCTGGAGGCTAATCCAGTGTTTGTGAATCTATGCTCCCCCTAGTGCTTTATTGAAGTTGGATCAATGTTTGTGTTTTTCTTTCGTTTTAGCATTAACACTGCAATATTGAGAAAACAAAATGTTCTGTTTTTAGATTTTCTAGAGGTGTAAGATGAGTCGAAGTTTTATGGAAAGACACATATTATTGTTATTATCGTTATTATAAGAATTTTAAACATAGAAAAAAAGATTTTCAGCTTTTTTGGGGGGTTGACAGTGACATATAATCATTATTACATTCCCCTCCTTTGCCTTTGGAAAGCAATACCACCCACTCACTCAGAACATAGGGAGCATCAGGGGCTGCTAGGTGGGAAAGGTTTTAAGTCTACCGTAATATGTTAGCACTCGATCTCAGACAAAGAAAAAATTGTCCCTAGACCCTCTGAAAGGGTTTTTTTTTTCTAATTGGATGAATTGCATCCACAAACCAAACCAAACCAAAGCAGTAATGTGTTATAAAAGCAATGATGTTTTTATGTCTTTTTTCCCTGTTCACTCTTTTTCCCTCTTGTCAAATGTCTTCTATCTCCTGCTAAAACCAGGCAAAGACCCTGTATATCCCTCAAGCTATCGTCCAATATCCCTTATAAATGTAGACCTTAAAATAATCTGCAAAGCTCTCTCAAAGAGACTGGAGAAAATAACCCCCCTCTTAATTCATCCTGACCAAACTGGTTTCATAAAAGGTAGGCACTCATCAACAAATACACGTAGATTACTTAATTTGATAGACTACTCATACAGTAAAAACCTAGAAACTATAATATTCTCTTTAGACGCAGAAAAAGCATTTGACAGAGTTAACTGGAAATTTCTATTTGCAACTTTACACAAATTTGGTTTTGGATCCTCTTTCATAAACTGGTTAAAAATATTATATAATTCCCCAACAGCTTGTGTTAGAACAAATGACCAGACATCCTCCAGCTTCTGTCTCTTGAGGGGCACCAGGCAGGGATGCCCACTCTCCCCTTCACTATTTGCAATTTTTATTGAACCACTAGCAGCAGCAATTAGACAGAATTCAGTAATTAAGGGCATAAAATGCAAGAACGTGGAACATAAAATCAGCCTTTATGCGGATGATGTGTTACTCTTTCTCCAAAATTCACAAACCAATATCTCTGGGGTGATTGAATTGATAAACTCTTTTGCAAGAATATCAGATTACTCAATTAACTGGTCAAAATCTACAGTCCTACCGATTAATTGCTCCTTCCATAATTCCTCTTCTACACCACTGCAATCGGGAAATATAAAATATTTAGGTATTAATGTTTCTCCCAAGCTTGCAGATCTAACTAAATTAAACCATATCCCACTTTTAAAGAAGGTAGAAGATGATCTGGCTAGATGGAAATGTCTACCCATATCACTCATGGGAAGGGTTGCCGCTATAAAAATGATGGTCTTACCAAAATTAAATTATTTATTCTCAATGATCCCAACTAAACCGCCACAAGATTGGTTCAGATCTCTAGATTCATGTATGTCCAAATTCCTTTGGAAAAATAAACCCCCACGTATAAGCTTAAAAACACTACAAAAGACCAAGGATAAAGGAGGACTAGAACTGCCTAACTTTCAGCACTACTTCTTAGCCAACAGGCTTCAGTTTATCTCAGGATGGCTAAAACACACCCTCTTAGATGAACCTTGGCTAGATGTAGAACAAGCACTCTGCAATAATCTAGAGATCTCAGACCTACCATTTATCAGCTCAAACATCCAACGACATGAATGCTTTAAAAGCATCAACATCAGCTCTTCTCTGACAGCATGGTGGGAGTTTCTAAAATTGACGGCGTCTTCATTAATCCCATGCAAACGTACACCTATCTGGAACAACCCTGACATATTACAAAACAATAATATGATAAACTTTTCAGATTGGAGTGATAAAGGAATCAAATATTTAGAACATATACTAGAAGGAACAGAATTTATTTCATTTGACGGACTAGTTACACAATATGGGATCAACAAGAAAAGATTTTTAGAATATCAACAAATTAAATCCATAGTAAAAAAGAAATTTAAACCGGGTCAAGTTGAACTACAAACACCACCAAGTGTGGTTCAATTTCTTACTCTTAAACCCCCCAAATTACTATCCAAAATATACAGAATGCTTTCTAAAACAGATGAATCAATATCACTTCCTATTGCAAAATGGGAAGCGGATTTATCAGTTAACTTAGACCTAAACTTCTGGTCTCAGATTTGCTTAAAAACCTTTCATCTAATTAGAAATCCCAGTCTTCAATTAATTCAATACAAAATATTACATAGAGTGCACTATACAGGTCATCGGATGTTCAAGATGGGCTTTTCGTCTACCAACAACTGCTCACACTGCCAAACCAATTCACCGGACAATTATATCCACGCTCTTTGGTTCTGTCCACCAGTTCAGAAGTTTTGGCGCGAGATATGTGAAGACTTATCGAAGTGTCTGAAATGTAACATTCCAACTTCCCCCTTAGTGTGTTTGTTGGGCAGCTTAGATAATGTCACTTCAGAAAAGAATATCGCCCATATGGTTTTCACTGCCCTATGCATAGCCAAGAAAACAGTCCTCATGAACTGGAAAAATAAAAATAATCTTAATTCTAACCAATATAGAAATTATCTATTAGATTACATTAGTCTTGATACAGCCTCTGCCACCACATCAGATCAATTGCTCTGGGCTCCTTTGATCAGCTCCATCACCTAGTGGGGGTGGGGGGTCATAGTTTGGTCCCGCCTTCACTGTTGTGATTGGTGTGGGGGTAGGGACAGGCTTAGGGCGTCGGGGGGTTCCCCGGAGGCATCTTCCTTGGGGGGCTCAACCCGGGGTAGCGGTCATGTCCGGTTAGGGGCTCTGTTGGCTCTCAGGTGACTGTTTCCTCGCGGCTGCGTGCAGCGGGGCTAGGGGAGGGTCTGTGCTGACGGACGTGGGTTACTGACCTGGTAGCCTGGCTGGCCCTGGGTGGGTCCGGGATGGGCGTGAGGTTCTGGGGGCGCTCCGTCTCTGGGCTGGGACCCGGACTGGGCCTCGGGGGCTTGGGTCCTGGTTGGTGTGTTGCCGGGGTTGTGGGCGGGTGGGTGCATGGGGGCCCAGCCCTGGAGCAGGGTGCCGCCGGTGCGTCGAGCCACCTGGGGGGCTCTTCAACTGGTGGGGGAGATTGTCACATCTTGCAGGAGCTTTCCTCTCCTCAGGAGCTCCCTCTGCAGGAGGGGGAGATACAGGAGAGGTGGAGGAAGATCTCAGCCTGGGTGTTTATTGTCTTATGTAGTCTGGAAGATGAGTGGATGGTGGGGTGGGTGCAGTTTTCTCTGTGGTGGGGTTGGGTGGACTGTCCCGGGCTCTGTGGGGCCAGGCGGCGCTGCTGCACTGGGCCCGGTCTGGATGGGCCTGGGCCCCCTCTCCCTGGCGGGTCGCGGAGTATGGGGGTGCCTACTGGGGTCAGCGGGGGAGCTGGCCCCAGGGAGGGGTCACTTGCCCCTCCCTTCCTTCCCTCCCCATCTCCAGCTGCCTCCCTCTTCCCGCTCCACCACAACCACCCACACATGCAGGGCCTTGGAGTAGGGGTATGTCACCAGGGTGCAGAGGAGGCTACCCCCCTCTGTCCCCTTCTGGCTGCCTCTGCCTCAATTTTATCCCACAACTTAGACATTCACATTACTCACACTCTCATTACACATACATATAGGATCTTGGGGGTGGGCACGATACACGGAGTCCAAAGTACCATCAGGGTGTACACCCCACCCCTGGCATCGTTGCCCACCTCTCAATTTTAAATACACGTAGACATTGAGGGCTAGCAGGAGGGACCATGCGCTTACCTGCTGCTCTCTGGCAGGTAGCTCCATGCCCTCCTGGGTTTTAAATGCACCTTAGAACACACATGCATCAACATTACAATGAGCGGGTGGAGGGAGGTTTGGAGTCTTCTCTCACCCCCGTTCTCTGCGACCTGCTGGAGCAGGGGGGCTAGGAGGAGGAGTTGGCCGTCCGACTGCGGTCTGGAGTGTGGAGCCTTCCTGCTGCTGCGGAGTCGGGGCGGTCTGCCTCCCCCCACCGCAGGGAAAAGGGAAACACCACCTGGGTCTGGGTGCAGTTCCCCCCTCCAGGGGCGAGGGCACCTAGACCCGGTTTGTAGAGTACGCTTGGGGAGTGTGATCGTGTGTACAACGTCTCTTTATGTCTGTCTCCACGTTGGTTGAGTGTGGAGTAAGTGCATATGAGAGCATGAGGGTGGGAATGGATGTTTGTATCTGTGTGTGCCTGTATGTCTGTGTCTATATGTCAGGTTGGGTGTCAGGCGCCACCTCTCTGGGGACATCTCAGGCCCTCCAAGGTTTGGAGGCCTATCTCCCCCTACCACCACTTCCCCTGCCAGTGGCGGACCCCCTCAGACATCGGTGCGTTGGTGGTTCTTTGTGTCCGGGGATGGGCGTCCAGGTACACACCGGCTCACTCCTTGGCGGCCGCTTATCGGGGCCTGGAGCCTGGGGCTCGCTCGGGCCACTTCGGAGGTGGGGTGCCCCCGGCCTCTCGGCCTGGGGCTCGGTCACTCAGGCGCAGCTGGCTGCCGGCGGAGCTCACGGGCGCGTCACTGCAACTCCCCCTGGCTTCTGCTCCACAGCTGCTGAGTGAGCCCTCATCTGGGACTCTCCTCAGCTCTTTCCGGGACAGTGGCGCAGCTGCCCCTCTGTTGGTCTTCCTTGGTCTCTTGTGTTCTGGGGGCCTCTGGATGTCTGGAGTTTTGATCTCCTCCACACCTGCTTCACGCCCTGGAGGACGGGGCTGTGGCCCCCCCACACCCTCTAGCAGATTATTACATGAAGGAACCTTTTAAAAAAACAAAAAACAAGCGCATCCATGCTCACA